ATCTTACAAAGGCAATTAAAGTTCACTATATATAATGTTTATTCCATGTTTGGCTTTATTTAAACATTGGCTTGTTGATCTTTAATCGATCATTTTTAAAAGTTTTGAATTAAAGTGATTATAATCATAGCAGGTCGGTTCCGCTAGTTTTTCTGGAATATTTACAAGATCTTACTATAGTACAAATGGTTGATAAATTTTATAGTACCGACACATCGGTTTTTTCAAGAAGGTGATTCGTTCAGATGCCATGAAATCTGAGGTGAAGATATCAAAGAAAATTGAAATGGTTAATCTTGGTTATTTTAGTCCACTTTCTAAAACAGAGAATCTTTTAGTGACAATAAATTACTGTACTGAACTGAGCTATGGAACTGGCTGGATTTGAAGTAAAAATACTGATGGTAGATTGAGAACACTCACTGGCAAAAATTCCTTCAAGCATCAGACCTGTAGTAGAATATATTGATTGTGATAGTTCTTTTAGACTGATAATTTTAGAGTATACTACTTCAACTGCAATGAAAAACAGTTTACCACTGTAGAGAAGGTCTGGACTAGTAGAAGTTTCTAACAGAAGCAAACATTAAGTCAAGGAATATGGTAATGTTAATTTGACATGAATTTTGGAGCTAAAACTTGGTCACTGGAACACATTTGATTGCTACACGATACATAACAAAGAAACATTCGACATCCTGATAGTCATCGTTAAGCTAATCCTCTTCGTCCTCCCATTACGATGCTATCCATGGCAACCATAAACAATTTCTTTTGACCTTCCATGTATCAATTTTCTTCAATTCTATCAGATAAAAAGCATATCTTTGAAAAATTAAGTTAGAGATTCCCTTAATCAGAGTGACTAAACAAGATTGTTTTCTGTACTTTTGCAGCAGTTTAGAATATCGGGTTACCATATCGCCCAGGTAGAAAGGGGTGTAATTGGTGTTATTGCGGAACGAGGTCAAAGGTAAATAAATGCACTTCCGGTAGCAATGGCATTTTATAATATAGTTTTGATTGACGAAATGATACACAGTTTGAAGGAAGTAATTAATAACCAGTGCTTGAAAGTTGGAGGTCGTACATGTCATTTTGTGGGTTAGCATAGAAAGTCCTGATAAACATGCAAACTGTTTAAATAAAGGCAATATGCATTTGTTCCTTCATTTTTTTTCAGGACTTTGCTGTATTCTATAATGATATCAATAGGGCTATTGTAAAGAAAAATAAATAATTTTTCATTTATTTTAATTTTTATATTAAGTTATTTTATTTCGTTTTGTCTTGAACGAATAAACAATTTTGACAATGTCTTCTTGAAACTCTTTAAATGCATATTAGATATATAGAATTCGAAGAACATGTATCATTTCGACAAAGGTTTTCATATACTTAGGGGCGTTGTGGGGATTTCGCCTCGATAAACTGTAACAGTGTGCTACCAATTTTCAAAAGAAGAAACTGTGTAGCAAAAATTTAGGTCGAATGATTTAGGTTATTTCTTATTCAGACTCATGTATTCATAAATCGGTGATGGTGTTCAAGTGTCCCTAAATTTTTCGATAACCGTTGATAGATCTTTCATTTTGGGATTAGCCGTGATAAGACGGGTCGGAGGTTGGGGCACCAATATAAGACTGCCTAGACTTATTTTTAGATAAAATGAACTTATATTGCAATTTATTTGAAATTCCTCGACTGCATCTAGTTTACATCATTCGTTGTTTTAATTACTTAGAAACGCTACATTAATTTGATTTGAGATAAAATACACTATTTCATTTCGAATGGCGTCTGGAAAACTGTGTTTGTTGGCTAATAGTACAGATGGATTGCAATCTCGACGAAAGGAAACATTTCATAGTAACCTTTTGAAATAAAGTGGTATCAAAGTTTAAAGAGAGAAGGTGGCCTAATTGGTATAATCTTGTTTCTTTATGTAAAATCAAATTTGTGCGAATTAAATATCAAATAATCATCATTCCATAGATATAAATGATATACGAGGGCATCATTGGAATGGATTTACTAGTATATTTTTACATAATACCCAATCCATTAAACCATGATATGTGCCCTGAACGATGTACTTTCAAATAGCGATAACATACATACAGAATGCTTGTCTCTTATAATGTTATCTTATTCGAATCAATTAAAAGCTGAACTGGACTTCTCTAATTGTATTTATATCTTGTCATTTTTTTTCTGTTTATTATTTTTCTTTCTTTATATATTTTTTGTTTATTGTCAAAAACTAAATCATAATACACAATATTAATACATTTTACCTTCAACCAACTTTGAAACAATGCATTTCTAGGATGTGCAATGATTTTCAACATTTTTTTTTAGGAAAGATAGTCGTTCCATGGTAATATGAGTAATAAATAAATATTATAATATATATATATTGTTAGTGCATTAGGATCATAAAATTTAAGGTTGAAATGTAAATTGCTCCGTAGAAACATGAACTATGAATAAAGCGAAAATTATTCAAGATCATAAGTCCAGTTAAATAGTACAAATCAGGTGCAGCGCAAACATGGACCTCCAAACACACCAGAGATGAAATCAAGTACCATGGAGGAGTAAACACCCAATGTCGACTGTTCCAACTCGCCAGGTGCTCCTTATGATCAAGCAGACGGACAAATCCGTAGACTGTCTATATAATTACCAAACAATAGGTTTGTCAATCCAGTTGACAGCATTCTGATTAATAATTGCTAACATTGTCATTGTTTCGACCATAGAACTTGCGAAATGACTTTAAACGATATTGTTGATATTTTTATTTTAAAAAAAACTGTTTTTTTTCAAAAGCTTGCATGTTTTTTATGTACAGCATGTTTCTGCGTATTGAATTATATTGGAGACAAATTCCATATGCAAGTGATAAGGATATACATGTATTGCTACATAAGGAAGTTGACGATCGAAATTTTGAAGTTCACTGAAATATATCGAATTAATGTACTTGTATGAATGGAAATAACTATTACTAATTCGTCGTCCATGTACGGTTTCTAAATGTCGAGATAAAGCCACAACAATGGTTTTCTTCTATTTGTGTATAATTTTGTAAAATAAATTCTGCTTCTTTCTTTATACAAAAATAGGTCCAGTCATAATGGGGTAACATAAATTGATACAAAGAAATATATGTGACATAGCATGTTCTACATATGATTAAAAAAGAGGCACCTTATTAACAAAACAAGCTGATAAACAAGAAATTCAACAGTCTCGATTGCAGTCATCAATTTGCAAGTTCTACTGATGTTTTCATAAACTTTGTACTTATTGTTAGGTCATTATTTACACACTGAAATTTTTCAGTGAGGATTTTTCCGTTTACCCGAGAATGACATAGAAATCACAGCATGTGTGTGAACTGTAGACAGGGGACGATTACTCCCCCATGGCAACTGATCACACCTCCGATGTTTTGGAGGTCCATGTTTGCTCTCGATCTGCATTGTTTGAGTAAGTTGAATAGTATTATAATATTCGTTATTTCCATACTTTATGGAATATGATTTTTCCATTAAATGAATGCATGTGAATAAAATGACATTATGTTGTGCAAAATTTTGTTTTTCTAAGTTGAACATATAATGTCTTAAATTTGGAAAACAGTTGAATTATTATTTTGACTGTCACCTATATTACTATTATAATGGTTTGCTGGTTTGAAATCTCAAGCCACCATTTACAACTGGACAGTAAAAGAATTTGGCCAATGTTTAAACGGTTTCCACTAGAGAGAATAACTTCTTTTAGCATAATCTTAAACAAATGAAAACGGCCTTTCCTCGCAAGGATGTTTCAAGGTCATGTCTTAAACTTAGTTATTTTACTCAACAAAATGACATTTCCAGGGCTGAGTCTTTGAAGCCAAATATAAAGATGTGTACAGGGCATAGAACTGTAGAATGGGTAAATTAATGTATTCTCTTACTTAGGCAATTCATAATTCTTGTTATTGATTAAAGGTTATGTGTTGAAGTATCACTTTAACTGAATAAAAGTAAATAAAACCCTCTGGCTCCGATAAAAATGATGTGTTTCTTAATGCTGAAGTCTGGCTGAAAAAGTTAATTATGATCTTAGGATATATCACAAAGACCAGGTAGCTCGTTATTTCTTAAGAGAAATAATATGTCCACACCTTTGAGGCAACAAGAGAACAACTTTCTAAGTACGATCCAATCCTAGTGTGAGACTATACATCGGAGGCAATATTGATGAGATTCATTTTCTATTTGATGACTATTTTGAAGAGAGAAATAGGAAAATATTTATGATTATAGACTTTTCTTAGCATTTATTGGTTCCATAACCTCTTAATTTCAACCAATATGAATAATTTGATATCACCTCACAAAATTTGGACTCGAGAATGTAATTGTTGCACTTTGTTTTATGGTTACTGCTTTACCTTGGAGTATAGATATATATATTATATGACTGAAATACATCAATGACACCCTCTTGGCAAAATATTGTTATATTTACGACAGGGATAAAAAAAAAAAAAGAAACTGTACGCGTTTCTCTCTGCTTACAACCGCCTATCATTGACTTGGCAGGAAAATACACTCAAATCGATAGAAAACTACAAAGTGTGAAATTAACATCACAGTCCTGTTATTTACTACATATTTGTCAATATTCCGAAACACGCATTTAATCAAATTTTGCCGAGTCTAACAAACATCTAGGTTAAATATCACCCGTGTTTCTTATATTTGTTGAGCTAGTACTTTAAACAAGCAAGAACAACAGCAACTGGGGTTTAATACATGATGGACTGGTAATGATGTTTAAATTCGATATTGAAATTGATATTTCTTTTGATGGCAGGCTTATTCATGAAACTATGTCTTGCTAGAAAACCTACATATGAATTTGTAGTGCTCCATTTTAGATCATAGAGAGATCTGAGAGGTGTATACTTTTATGCCTATCGCTTCCGAGGCTGAAAGCAAATATTATGCTGATTTTAATGATCAAAAACATAAAATCCCTCAAAAAAAAAAGACAAGACATAAAAATTGAATTACAACAAGTTTAATAACATGACATTTCAAGTTCAATGTTAACTATTTTATGTACAATAAAAATACAAAATAATTAAAACAACAATGTAGATTGCATGGCTTTTTTTTGATAGTGGAAATATATTCAATAATTACTTGGAAATACAACATTCCACGCAAATGCACTAACAAGTTGATGAAGAGAAATTAATGTTTGCTATTTCAAAGATGCTTTATGGATATTGAAGCAGAAATTAAAATATGAAATGCTGTTAAATTTATGATGAAATTATTGATGACCATGAAGAAAATGTATATCATGATAAATAAATAGTGAGACAGGTGGGGTGACAAAGTATTATCTGAAGAAAAAAAAGCGATGCATGAAATTAATGACAGGAAATGCTTGGAAATGTCAAGAATGCATTGATCTAGCAAAACACTCCAAATTGCTGTAAACAACCCAAAAATATACGATTCTAAAATCCTGAGAACATCCTAGATATTGTTACCTGTAGGCTGTAAGAGGATGGTGTAGTTAATCGTTAGAATCGTGCTCACATTAAAGAATAATAGTTTTAATATTACCCAAAAATTAAATAATCTGTTTTAAATTGTAAACTATTCCTTAGAAAAAAACTTTTTACTTTTACTTTTTGGAATTATATACCAAAAATAAATATATGTAAAGTGATATTTGATTATAGATAAAATGTGCTGTTTTTTAATTGCAAAAATATATATTTTTTATTAAAATATTCTGAATTTCCTCTTTGCAGGTGATTATTTTTCCTGAGATATTGTGATTTAATTGGGAAAAGTCTCTTTGTTCATAAGAAATCCAAGTTACCCTAGTTTAATAGCATTCGTTGCAATTGCAACCAAGCGTTTCTAAGACTCCGGACTTTGCACAATATTAAATGATAAGAACAAACAATGAATACGTATTTAACAATAAAATCACAATTTTTTTAGTACTATTGGCGCTTTTTATAGCGTCTCCTCTCAAAATTCCGTCATCTTGTGCTGGCTAGTTTTAGTCATGAGGTAGATTTCACACAAACACTGGCCCTGTCCTGAATGAAGTCAAAGTGAAAAGATGGTCACCGTAGCAATATGTAAACAAAAAAATTAAAAATTATCAACAATGGGGACAATTTGGATTTAGGGTCGCGGGCTTCTGGAAATTCGCTTCGAACACACGTTTATCAATACACTCGTCGCTCTGATGTCATACTGGCGTCATTTAAAAAAAAAAATTGCATTGGTATTTGGCATTTTATACGGTGAAGTTCATCTTCTTCGTCATCGAGTTTGTAAATTGGTTCATGTTCCTATAGAATCATCAGGGATATCGCTGATTCGAACAATTTCACTTCGAACGAAATCTGGTACAATGTACTCTGAATATTAAAAAAATATTCATTCCAAAAAATTATTGGCATTATTTTGGATCTACCTGCATGCACAAGAATTAACTGTCATACTTGGATAATTTTTTAGGACAACATTTCTATTTTCGTCAAAGTAGAGAAGCGTCACAGAAGACATGGAATCGGGCACACAACACGGTGCTGGAACGTCGGTGTATATTCCAATAGCGTGGACCATACTTTGAATTGTAGCGTGGTTTGAAGGTCTCAGTCGCTATAAAAAAGAAAATAATATATATTCATAAATAATGTCTTCACTGGCGCTTCACTGTGTTGGGGATTACTGAAGATTATCTTGCTTTTGATTCCTGTCAATTTTTTAAGTTAAGGATTATGACAAAAAAAATTAATCGGGAAATCTTCTCGTGTATTTCAACAACTATACACAAAAATAATCCGACATTTCAGTTAACTACTCATGCTTTTCAAAAATACTATGTTGTTTTCTAAATACCAGAGTAAAAAGGGTCTTGTCAGCTTAATCTGAAAGCCGTGAAGATTTAACAGGGTGATCATATACGAGATGTGAAGATTTCACTTTTATGAGTTGTAAACAAGAGAAACAAATTACAATTCAAAAGTAAACAAAAGTTTTCTGGAGAACTGATCTCGAGTGCTATCTATAAACACATTGATCAGATTTCATCCATCAAGGACTCCACGTCCAGACTGTCAGATAAAGCAAGACGTGGGGACCATACATCGCTGACACGCTTTGAACATTTCACTTTACATTTCAGATTAAAGATCGAGATGAAGGTTGAAAACCTCGTGCTTCTCGTTTTGGAATTGTGATTTACCGTCCAACGTTAGCAAAAATGTTTTCTCAAAGTAACATTTGGACAATTTACGATCTATTAGATTCTAACATACTTAATACTCAAACAGTGTGTCTAATCTGGTCTCCGGTGAATACTGGGCTTTGTACCGCTTCGTGCTCCCCCACAAGTTAGCGATTAGATCTCAAATTACTTTTTTAACCAAAATAAGGGAAACAGGTACCTTACCTTTGTTAGAGGAAATGGACATGATCCTGCGCAATAGTGGGCCTCAAAAGACTTGGGGGATATGATCCAGTCTCCCCATCCAATGTCCGCAAAATCCACTACAAGCTTCTGGCGACCACAAAGATGGCCGCTCTTTTCCTCCGTAGCCATATTTTGTTTCACATTTTTCCACTCTTTCGGAAACACTCTATTCTTCCGCCTGTTTTTCTTCCTCCTGTTTTTCCGCTTTTTGTGCTTCCTCCGTTTGGCTTTACTTGGGTAAGGTATAAGTCTAGAGCCAGGGTTTTTGTTTCGATTTTGTCTTCGAGTTTGGAGAATACCCGGGTGTGTTTGGGGAATGTTAAATTTTCGCTCTATACGATCATAATCATCTGGATCTTCCGGAATTTCATTGTCATATATTGACCTTTTATCTCTTATTTTAATATCTGTCACCACATCAGACAATTTCTTCTTTTCTGAATTTTTATTATTAGAAGTAGACTCACTTTTGATTTTATCTGCTAAAGAATCTAACTGATCAAAACGACTTTCTTGAGTATCGTTCGTGTACACAATTAAAAATGGCATGGAATGATGGCGGATGAATTTTCTTAATGCAATGTCTCTCAGTTTCCCATTTTGTTTCTCGGCTTTAAAATTTAAGGCAAATAAATGGGGTACTTTTCGTCTAGCAGCTAGACAACTACCGACGGCCTCTGTAACATCGTACCACTGCCAGCCATACGACTCAGCTCGCATGGTAATTTTTCCTTCCTCAGACATGTAATGAGGGGCTACTTCATACATTTTTAATTCAATGTCTTTTTTGGGATTGAACCGTTTGGGTTTCCGTTTGTACAAATGAATTTCTGCGCTCAATAACCGCTCTGTTCGGCGTATGGACGTCAGGTTAAAAATGAACATGGTCTCTCCATTCACCGTAGCTGAAAAAAGAGGAAAAAACATATTTAGATTTTATATTAAATGGTTACATTTGTCTTTAAAATGTGCTACACCTTATTCAAAGGAGTGTTCACAACATTAACTGTTTAAAGATTTGCACTAGTGGGTTTTTTATCAAATATCTTTGATGTTCTTAATTTCAATTTCTCATACGAGTAATAAATGCAGGTCTTTATACTAGAAGTAAATAAAGAAGGCAGAATTGTGAACAACTCATATTGATATTGATTGAAATAACATTTAATACTCGGCTCGACACCATTTGATAGCATATTAGACCTGATTTAATGTACCTTGAAAATTCTTAATGAAAAATTAAGTGTAATTTGTCAAAACACTTTAAACTTTGTAGATTTTCAAGCATGGTCTGTCAAAAAGATACGGTGTATATAGAGTTCTGAAGACGTGTTCGTTCGCAAAACTTTGAAAAGGTAACAAGTCTCTATTTCTATTTTTGATGAAGAACCCAAAAGAGCAGTAAATTTATAGATGGTAAATGCCCTTGTTCTTTGATTGATGTTCCAGCAACTAGGAGCTCTTTTCAGGAGCAAATCCGTAACTGGGTGCTTTTGTTGAAACTGTTCTGATAATAGTTGAATAAACTCGCGGCATCCCGTAATTACCATTTATGTCCAATCGGCGTTTGTGCGATAGCATGCTGAAAGGTTATTATTACCTTTCCTTTAACAACCGTTTTACAAGATTTGAGTGACTTGCGGTGCAAAGGTCGGTGATTTTCAAGCTGTTTAAGAACGAATTTGTACCCCCAAAAATCGCACCCGCTAACCACGACTTCACCTTGTCTTCCCGAAAACATTTTTGTTAAATCTAAAAAGCAAGTCATTCCTCACCGTCAACATGAAATCGATATTTTTGCAGATTGCCGTCGCTGATGGCGACTGTTTCGTTTCCTTGTACTTACCAAAGAAGAAAAGCCAAGGGTCGTACACACTTTTAACTTTTGTTTTAGTATATTTTCGACATTGTGTATCAAGACCAAAGAAAGGAATTTGAGACCAAATATTTTCGACAAAATATGCTTACGCCTCACCTCATAAAAGAAGCTTTCTGCAAAAGGTCACATATTTGTATTTTGCTCGATTTTAAGTTCGGTTGTTTTCTTTTTATAATTGAACTCCATGAGTTTTGCTACATACCGTGAAAAACAGATATGTAAGGTACTTTTATTAAGCCCTACCATGAATTCCTTTACATTTATGTAGGAGGTGGGATATAATACGTCTTTTTCCTTTTCATATTTTTTTCATCCATGTATTTTTCACGAATGCTAACAGTGGTCATGTATGTCAGTGCGTTTAACTTCTGTTTCCCAAAGAAAAGCATGAAATATCTTGCTATTCCTATTAAATTCCGATGGATTTCTACATATTGCCTTTTTTTCAAAGGAATGGAAAACAAGGTATATATATCAATGTCAATGCCGCTGTTTTTGCAAAGACTGTCTATTTTTACTCAATCATTATCCTTATATATGCCTTGTTAATGAATCTGAATGTAAATTATGAACTAAAAATGAAGTTCCACTCCCGGACTGGTACCCGGTGAAATTTTATATACCTACTCCCGCGCCGCAATGTTGCACGACAAATTGGTTTGTGTTACATCATCGGTGCCCTCGAGTCCGGCGGTATATTCCGCCACAGTGTTTTACTATGACTCCTTTGATTGTATGAAGATCTACATAGTTTAATTGTGTTGAAGCACTATTTGAGTTGAGGTGCCTATTTAGTGGAGTGTTACCTGAAAGAAGTGACATGCGATTATACAAAGATAAACATCTGCGCCATAATCACCTTACATTTGTATTGCTATAAAATCTCGGACACTTAGTCTACCGGATGATAAAATATTATTGTTATTGTCTAATCAAACGCTCTATTGACTGTATAAAAACGCCAATGAATGCGGAAAAGGATATAAAATATGGGTCACATTTGTTGGAGTCGAATACTTGGTATAAAACAAAATATTGATGTAGATTTTCCTCTTGTTTTACTTTGTAAAGGGCATACTTTCTTATCAATAAAAGCTCGCTCTCATCTTAACGCATTCCTTTCAGAGATCAGCCAAATCAAGCGAGCGGTCATTACGGGCAATTGTACCATACGGCTGACCACTCGTGCTGGCGCCATAAGTGACAAGGGTATCCGCGCCGTCAGCTGATTAACTATTTATGTATCGTAATATTTATGTGATTTACAAAGTCATAGGGACAAAGCTTATCGACCTCACTAAAATTTTCAAACAGATATAAAAAGGACGAAGAAAATTTACATTAATAGGCGACCTTGTTTCAAAGGGTAATTGCAAATTGACGAGACGTGATGTCCTTTATCGTTTTGCAAGCGAAAGTTAAAAGTTTATTGAGGGGACTTTTATTGACAGGGGTCTCTGTGAATGAGATGTAAGATTTATACTCCCAAATAGGCCCCATGATACCTCTCAAAAACTCAAGTAAAATTGCTTAAGTTCGCGGAACAAACAAAAAGCCAAACAGTATTTCCTACAACAAAGTAGACAGTAAACTTTATTGTCAATTAAATTATTCATGATAGAAAAAGCTGCTTTCTGAAGACGTGCAGGGAGGGTGGCGACACACAAGCAGACTACGGGATTCCTTTCTCAAACAACACAATTTCCTCCCACCGCCATTTGTACCAGAGGGTAAACAGTCCAATGGTAACAGAAAGGGCTCGGAACAAAGGTTGAGACAGCAAATTGGTAGATGTAGAAAAAATGTCTCCTAAGATGTATATGTCAGACTTGCAAATACTCGATAGGTATTAGAACTGTTTAAAAACTGTGCCCATAATACAGACCTGGCGACTCATAGCGAAAAGGGAATGGGACCAATTTGCTTTTGGCCTTTTTTATTTCGAGTGTCAATAAATATAATTTTGAATGGCAGAGAAAATACATGATTATTGACGTATGCATTGTAGTTTATTTCTACACCGTGGGTATGTATACTTAAATACTTTGATATGCTACATTATTTTCGGAAGTTCTCTAGTTATTTTAAAAGTCGTAAAATGTCAAACATTTAAGGTTACTTAATTTGGAATTTTTCATTGCTTTGAATCGAAAGGGTAGAATTTTTTGTTGATTCTTTTATTGTAAAGTGTCAACTTAATAGTTTATAAATTCTTTCCGGCAACAAGTAGAGAGAAAAAAGCCTCGTGGTTGCAAATAAAAAGTGTCAGAAATGCTTTTTACGTATTTCTAATTTATTTGAATGTAATTTAATCTATTTTATGTCGCTTTTATTTTATCATGGCGAGAAATTTTGCATTTCGTGAAGATAAGTATTATTTTACTGTGATTGCACTAAAAGCAGTCAAAGGGTTTCTCGTTGTTTATACGAATTTAGGAATTAAGATATTTAGAAAAGTCGTCGGCGACCTTTAATTGGCAGATAGGCATCAATAAACCATAGTCCTGATTCGCCATTAAACTCATGGGTGGTATATATCATCGGCAAATCACACAGATGACATCTGGTTTCTTCTTTTACTGAATAAACTCGCTTATCAATGGTCTTGTGTACATATCGTAAACTAATCTTTTGTTGTGTTGTAAAACAATTTGCAAGATTATATATCTGGTCTTGCGGCTTTTTGACCAAGGGCGCTGGCATCATTAGAATGCGACTGTCAACACATTTATGTACGACATTACTTCGTTTAGGGCATCTTGTTAGCACATCTTTGACAGCCAGGTTTTTTTCACCTTGCACGGCGAACAATACGGAAAATTGATTATATTAAAAATACCCACAGGTTTCACCCTGCGGGAGGCAAAACAGGCATCGGTACATCTTAATTATACTGCCAATAAAGCCGAGTGCCATCACACATCCCCGAGATTTGTGATACACTTCTATGTTATGTTGAAAACTGTTTCGTTTAGTTTGTTCATTAAAAGATAAACTATTTCAAGTTTAACGCGACTTCTGGGTGTAAGTTTTTGGTAAACCTTGAATAAAAACGACAATGTCTGTAAAGATGTTTGATTTATCTTGTCTGCACTGATTTTAAACCACTGTTTTATTAACTCAAAGAAAATTAAGAGTCCATTGATGGTGCAGGTTGAAAATTTAGCACGACGCGTCTGCCATTAGCTTTGGAGCCTGTTACTACTACGCCAAAGCTAACATTCACATTTTTACCAATCACACAAAGTGTTTTACAAGCGAACCCAAGAAAATTAGGCGCCAAAAGACAAGTGCCCTTTTTCTATTTCATTGTTAAAAAAATAACTGATACTACCTTTCGAGTTGTATTTCATCTAACACGATTGGAACAAAATATGATATATCAAAGAACATAAGAAAATAAAAAACGCCCTCCCAAATATGACACTGATTGGGAATTAATTACGGCTAAAAGTTGTACCGAATTTAACCTTGGTTGAACAGGTGCACCATCAATGGTTGTCTTTCAGAAGGCACGAGGACTGTTGGGTCTCGATTCATTGTCACACAAATGGATTTATTACAAATCTAATGAGTAGGTCTGTCATTATGAAAAATCATTTTTGACATCAATACCAAGGTTTAACACGTGTAAAGATATGTAGAGAGTGTAATTAGAGAAAGCGTATTTAGTGTCAAATCCACTATTAGGATTTTTCGATTGGCAGAATGTACCCCTGCGGTTTGTCATTTCTCTTTCAGGACTTTGATTTTTAATTTGGGCTTTTCGTAATTAAAATGTATGCTTCCTTTTTGACAGATACATGTATAAAATCAAACATGACTTAAAAATAATACAAAATTAAATTTCTCTTGAAATTCTTTCGGATATATCCTACCTATTTCAGCATGTATACTTCTAACGGTATTTCCAGATAAATGTCCCTTGGAAATGCGACTGTTTTTAAACTTTTCGTACAAATCCATCATGTATTGGGGCGCCTGTTCCGATAAGAAATTCGGGACTGTCTGAAGTTTTAGATAGCGTGCTGGAGATTCTTCAAAACCTAACAGCGTCCGAACCGCTTCATGAAGAAGCACATTTTTCTGGTCAGCACTACCTATTGTTACACCCAGATAGGTGTAGAAAAGATACACTAAACTGCACAATCTCATGGTTTTTCAAGTAAAATTTGTAAATAATCCCACTATGAATATTTACTTCTAATGTAACAAATTTTCTTTTTCATGTAAATATTATCCGTAATGTTCCATGATGTAGAACCGAAGCCATAATATTTTCATCTTCTGAATTATTATTATTCCGTTTTATCACATTTCTCAGGTAAATTCATGTCGCATGTTGGTATAAATCCCATGGAAAATAGACTTTCATAGTAACGCACTTCCACTCATGCAAAATGGCAAGTCAAACCTCAAGAATGAACAAAAACTTTACACATCTAAATGATATAAACAAACAGTGTTGTTCTTTTATTTAAAAAATCGTTTTAGATTGGGTACAATCCTTACGAAAAAGATATGTCAATAGCTCCGACGAAGAGGCCCCGCCCCTTATGCTATCGAGCGTGCGCAACCAGTGGTGATTTATCAATTTTTAAATTGACGTCCTTTCATTCATACCTACATTGGCTTGATGACTTGATGTTCAGAAGAACTTGAGGGTAGTTTGTGTGTGTGATTCGATTTGTTTGGGTAATCTGCTTGTGATCCCACTGATGGATTCGGGATGGGTTTTCTGTTTCGCTTTAAAACTAACATACGGACCTTCAACTTCCTTACTGGTTAGAACGCTCTCTCTTTCATTGGGTATGAAGAGAGGTTTAATAACCGATTGCGTGTTGTGGAAGTAGTTTTTGATATTTATTTAGTTTTATTATAGAAAAGGGCATGTTAAAGTACTGGTTAAATCATTTAGATCCAAAATTATTTTGCAGATTTGTTGTGTTCTGTTACTAAAGGGATTGAAAAAATATAATACTTGGATTTATTATGTCCCTTCAGCCATAACAAGAAGCAAGCAAATGCAAAAAAAAAAAAAAAAAAAACGTCTCCAATGAGTTTGGTTTGCCACGAGGCAATACCACAACAATAAGAGTCTAAGAGACTTTGCAAAAGCTGGTAAACTGTGTAGTATTTATTACTGTGCTAAAGGCGCTTTAACTTTTAACTGATTAGCTAATGAAAGTCAAGTACTAAATAAGTCGCCAGGAGCCAATTAGCGCTCCCGTGCCTTTGTCAGAGTTAAGGTGATTGGCTCCAAATGTCTGTACTTTGATGTCCACTCTTAGTCCCTATTAGTTTCTACCTCTCCTAGGTGTATTTACTAAGGTCATTTCAGGCAATGTTGCCGATTTATACGTAACCAAGTTTGGTCAACGTAATCCAGAAATCCGTATGCAACCAAAGATATATATAGCGAGGACTAAATAGGTTAACTCGTTTATCCTATTTATTGTATGTTTTAATCTCATATAATTCATTTTTTGTGTAGAAAATAATTCCAATCGATCAACTTTGTACATTGATTTTTTTTTAATTGTAACATGGATATGAAAAGGCCTATACAGTAGTGGAAAATAAATGTGAAAGGAACAAATTGACAATCATTTTGATTTGTAATCGCCATGCTTCAAATACTTCGGATAAATAATTTTCCTGATGAAAAAATTGGAAAATATTCATGATTGTTCATTAATCATGTCATTTATTCAAATGACAGATGTGTTGAATAAAGTTCTTTGATCATAGGATACTTCGATGATGGACAATCTGTTATTACTCAGATTTCTCGTATTGCACCTGCTCTCGCCTCATTTGTAAAGAAGAAACAATATGTACATATTTATATTTTATATATTCATCTTATATTTATAGAGGGTCGTGGACAAAGGTAATCATAGACAGAAGATTGAAGAGAATTTGGAAAAATAATGTTAAAAATCAGCGGGGAAAGGTTGTCATGGAAGTGTCTTCCTACTTTTTTTTTTTATTAAAAGGGAAAAATAATCATATCACCAAATTTTTAATTTTAATTAAAATTTGATGGAAGACAGAGGCCAAATATAGTAACGATCAAATTTGTTTCTTCTGTCATGTTATAAATTTTGAATTTACCAGGTGGCAGTAAATACAAAATTTTGTCATGTAAATTTTGTATTTACTGCCACTGGTATTTGAAAATTTACAACATGACACTTCAAATATCAAAATATTCTTATTTTAACAGTACTTGGTGTCATAATCACATCAAAAAGATTTCAACCTGTTGATGAAAATAATGCAACAAAGAGGATGCAAGCGGTTGGTTGTGACATGTCCTAAACTGTTAAAGTATTTTAGTGATGTAAGAATGCGTAAAATACAGTCAAGAACTCATTGATAAAAATTAATAAAACTTTACTCAATTTACATATTTGTAGTATTAATTATTTCTTTTTAATATGAAATGGAATGATATTATATGATATTTTGATATATTTCCTAATTTCTGTATTATTTATTTTTTTCATATCTTTTATTATTATGGGTCAAGCAAATTCAACGTTAATTCTTCGAGTTCTGAACAAAATTCATGTCCAGATAGTATTTTTTTTTTCAACAGAAAATTTCGATATTCAATGGTTTATACCTTTCATTCATTTAATTCTTCTTGTGGCTTCTTTCCAACATAGTTTACAAAAACTGCAGGACATACATTTTTTAAACTGTGTCACAGGTTTACAGACACGAAAAACCCCAAAACAGAATGACATCAATTTATCAACGTTTCATGTGTCAGCTCATGATGTATCCAAGGATTATAAGTCCACAAAAGGAAATAATGCTATCCCCAATCTCATCGTTAATCTTCGAATCTCCTTTTTCTTTAAAACACGAGCACTTTCCCATTACTGGCCTTATGACATGCTAGCTTCTACTTGCACTTTAGCACAGAAAGACCGCTGGTACCAAAACTTGTAAAATTCCTTGACAAAGTGAGAACGCCTATGTTTCTGTAAATGTCTTACATTTTTAAGCTATGGCAATAATTTTTGAATCTAAAGAAAATTACAAGATTTTTGTAATTTTGTTAAGAAATAAGTGCAAATTATATGGCCCGTATTCAATGGAGAGGAAACTCTTAATCGCGAGAAGTTGAGAAAAGGAAGTTCCTGTTTCGCTCGATTTTAATGCCATGAGGATGAAGAAAAAAAACACTCGAAAAGATATTCAGAACAGTTTTTAAACATAAAATTTTGATATATAATTATAAAAGTGAATCATTTCTTGCACGAATATAATATATAAAATGTCCTATAAACATAAATTAAAAATATATTTTAAAATTTACTTATTATATATCTTTTGAGATATAAAATCAAAGACGCGTACTTTGATTTAAGAGTACTTTTAATAGTTTGTATAAAATATATAATTTAGCGGGTAAAAGTTTCTAATTTCATTTACAAAATACTACGTTGTCAGGAAAGACTAAAGAAAAATAATCAATAACTTTATAATACAGCTGTCCTTCGACAGGTGCATCGATCAAGTAGAGACAAGTACTTATTTTGTTGACTGATCCAATGGTAAAAAATATCAAATAATCACATATATACCCGATTTCACACAAACCCGATAGAATATACCGGTTGTTTAGGACCTCTCACATCAGTAACAAAATCTGACCACAAAATAAAGACCCCTGTAGAGGAAAATAAACATGATCATCATTCATACTTATAATGTGGGCTTTCAGAAATGGTGTGAGAATTCGACTTACTAGTTACTTGTCTTGAAAATGCAACTGTTGGTGTTGCCAGTAATTTTATGAAATTACAAACAGGTGTGAGAAAATGTTAGTAAGAGTTATGTTCCCCTCAAGGGAAGAGACATATTGCATGCTGGTTTTGATAACCTTTGGTAAGGTTGTCAGTCTGTCACAATGTCATGTCCTGGTCATGAATTTCAAACCCAAGTGTGGAATTGGATCCAAAAAAAAAAATTGCTTTGACCATGACCATTTATCATATCTCGAAGGTCATGGTCGTGTCGCCAAGAACATATATTAATGACTAGGGAAAAATTATAAAGAATAATTATATATCTATTATCATCTTAAACCACAAAATTAAGTCTATACCAAATACACGTAGGATGATATTTCTAAACAAAATTTTTGATTTCGGATTAGAACAGAGCATGTCATGTCATCCATACCTGACATTTTCTATTTCGGGTTTCTTTGGAATAAAACAAATCTCTTTGTTGCAGGAAACCAAATCCACCGGGAACAAGATTCGGCGTCAGTGGTATTATAATGTCACGACAAAATAGCTAAGCGTGCCACAGATGAATATCTTTTCTTGCTTTACACAGGATACTGCCAATATCACGTGACATACAATACTGCACCCGATTTGCATAAAACATTATACTTCCGCAGGAAAAGACCTCGTCTGACCACATGAACTGATAATTATCCACTAGACATCAAACAAGCAGATATCTATCAAGGTGTGAGCTGATAAATTACATTAATTTAATTTTTAGTGCAGTTTTATCAAGCCTCCGTTGTAATTTTCGGGAGAGTTTGGGATTGATATTTTTCCATGAAATCATGCAGTCGTTGTTAATGAGCCGTTTTGACATCTCTTATTATGTTGATACTTTTTACTCCGTATCCGTGACTCGCTGTTTGTCCATCAACTGAAATTTATTTGTTTCTTTGATGTCAAAAAAATCAATTTGTATTTTGTAAATTTTCATATTCCATGTCTGGACGTATATATCTGCCGTTTACCTTTTACGTATATAATGCAATGTGTGATACTAAATTTATTATACTATTTCTTTTTTTTTTAACTTCGAATATTTTAATGTTAAGATGAACAATATTGCTGGGCATTTCAGTGGATAAAGTTTTATATTTTCAAGTTATTTTTGGAAAGGATACATTTAGGCAAGGCTTTATGAAATGAATCGGAACTAGAACCCTCTTCGTCCATTTTTAAACCTTGCCCGTATCTTTGAATAGAAATGGACAATCCCTACCTCTCATAGTTCTCGGCAGACAGACACACAGACGTCAGTCTGACAGTGATCCCTAAGTGTAGCGCTCTCTGCAGGCGACACAAAAACAGAGAAATTATAATTTTCATCATGACGTCACAACTAAAACTACGAGACGGTAGACACATCTGCAAAGTATAAAATGATGAGTGAATGTCTGTTTAGATTGAGCCAGTGACGGTTTACATGATATTAATAATTATTTCTGATGTACGGCACCGTCCAGGTACGGACGAGGGCGACATGACAGAATGTCTAAACATGTTCAGTGGGACAAACTGTTATTTAATTGGATAAATATACGTCAATTCATCAACAAAAAGAACAAGAAGGTAAACGGAGAGGTGCTATCGACACGTTTTTGAAATAGCATGGAAGCAAAACAATTTCTTGCTTTTAATTTTTAAACGTTAAAGCCAATATCAATAAAAATTTTGAAACTGCCTCCATTTAATTCAAAGGTTACACCACTGTGATGATACTTTCAATAGAAGATAATCGGACAAATGGAGAGCAGTCAACGTACTGACCTTGAGATACAGAAGACAATGTGCTGACCTTGAGATAAGAAGACAATGTACTGACCTTGAGATACAAAAGATATTCGGATTTGTACTGCATAAAGATTCGATAATGCATACCGGGGAGAATATGATGAATAATGCCCTCTTATGAACAAAGTACGAACAATTCTTTTGCCGCCAAAAGCGGTCCGGGAAATATAATAAGTAAAACTCGTTCTTTCAGTCTTGGTTAAATTTCCATTTGCATAGTTTATATTTTCATTTTCAATGCATGATTTTCAATTTGCATTGAATTATTATACATATAAAAAATGGAAAAATAATGAATACAAATGAAAAATAATGAATACAAATGGAAAATTATACAGTATAAATAAATGTTATACACAAAATGTCAAAAATTATTCAATACAAATAGAAAAGATCAACGATCGAATTTTGCAAGGTTTGACATGCCATAAATGCATAATGATAGTTCATTGTGTATACATGATGAGTGGGGCATATAATTCTGTAAATAATTAAGTAAAAAATAATGTCTAAAAAATGGAATTTCAAATATTGTCGAAAACGGTTTGATTTTGATGACCGCAAAGGGGTTCAACAGTCATTACACATACATGTACACATGAAGCTATTTGTCAAGTAGGAGAATAGTACACGTGAGTTTTGTGGCTCATGGGTCTCTTCTTTTTCCTATAAATGACAGAAAAAAAAGAAAATTATAATAAATAAAATAACATTGTTACGATTGTCGTCAAATGAGCCGTCGCCTCTCTTCGAGGGGGGCACTAGCTTTTAAATGCTGTACTAGTCTTATCGAGCTGGAATTCATTACATTATTTTTTTCAACAGCTTAATCCGTGGTGAACAAATATTTAGAAACGCACTTAGTTGTTTGTTTTTCGACATCCATTTAGATTACAACTAGATATTGATAATTTTATGTTGATTGTAAATACTGTGTATTGAAAGAAACGTGAAAAAGTGTAAAATAAACTAATCGGTAAATGGAATTTACATGAACCATTTGAAAATAGCTTTAAGAAAGGTAATTAATTTCAATTTGATAAAAGAACGCCATGAGTAGAGCTTATTGAAAATTAACTGTTATTTAAAAGGGACTGATAGCTGAAATAAATAACCTACAATTTGATATCAAAGATAAGTCTTCATTAAATGAAGTTTCATTTTTGAAAACAAAATTTAAGTACATGTATATTCTTTTGTTAATAAACCAAACTTTATTAACAAAATATCTGATTTAATTGGGGGAAAAAGCGCAAATTATTTACTGGATATGGCAAGTACATCAATCGAAGAAATTTGCAAATGATAAGCATTTTTATGAATGTAAACTTGTATATATCACAAAAACACGTTATTTCATTATCTGGCTGTGATAATAATCAACACTTTAATTCTAGACTAGCAATCTAGAGCCGACAATAGAAAAGATAATTCCTGGCCACTCACTGTCTGAACAACCAGTATGTTCCTTAGATAAAGAAGGTGGGGCTAGTCAAGGAAAAAGGGAATGTTTTTGTGCGCTGTTATCTAATACCCACACAGCGAGGAGGACTTAAGTATCTACAGTCTTCTTTTAAGTTTGGGAAATTGTTGATTCGACCATTGATAGGAGACAACGAAATGATACGCGACGCCCCAGCTATACCTTTTGATTACGTACGATCCCTTCGTTCATACTTCACGCAGAAGACAAGATTCTAGATTGTCCGACCTTAAACCTAGAAGAATTTTACAAGTCGTAAACATCGAATGAAAAAAATTCAATAAGTAACATTTAAAATAGGTCTCTGCGTGCGTTTAATAACCTAATAAATTGTAAACATTAATTTTTGAATTCTACTACATGAATTTCTAACGGTACGTTTTTGTGAGTAGATAAAACGAGAAAAGTGTATGTTCTGAACTCGGCTACTCAACAAGAATACTATGACGAGGGCAAATTGTGGTCTTGTTCACGGAAACCCAAGACCATTATGTCGTTATATTTAATATGCCCACCTACGAGGACATCATATATTTTCAGAAATAATTTGCAGTCAGAAAGATTTGGTTGATGATAATGCAGACTATATGTACGTATTTTAATAGGAAGACAGGCTATCGTAATTATATGCAGTAAAACTATTCAGTTCCATTTCATTCAAACATGAATTGAAACCGTCAAATTTAATCGTTTGTTCTATATTAAAATGCAATTCATATTTTTACCAATATTTTTACATATTTTAATGACGAAATAAAATATTTAAAAACAACAACAACAAAATATATAATTGAGATAGTCCCCGAAAAAAATCTATATATAGTTCAGGAACATCTCGATCGTGCCTTTTTAGTGTAGTCTCCTAGAATTAATAAAGATTGGGTAATTCAGGAACATCTCGTGTCTTCGGAACAACGTGTTGACAGGAAGAGTTCTCGTATTGTGGGCAAACAACTACAAGGTGTACAGATCGAGCAAAGCCAGATTCCGCGGAGAGCAGCGGGTTACTCCGCTCCTCGACCATCGGACGACTAATGAGGAGCCAGCAACACGGACAAATTGATCACGACGTGGACAGCCAAGACACGTGGGGACACGCCCCCTTACACTGGTTCCTTCTCACACCCGTAAAACAAAGAATAATCCTCACCAGTATGTTTGTACGGCGAGATTATTAGTTTTTGCCCGATGAAGAGAAAAATACTTCGTGTCCATTCATAGATCATTTATATTCGGGTTCCACCCACCAGTTGACAATGGCTGATGTCAAAATCTGGCTAGTCTCACCAAAAAAGGTCAAGTCCACCATAACACCACTGGACACTGGCCGATAAGTGTTCTTCAAATTGTTTGTCGTTGACATAAATAATTTGTGATGTTTGTTCAAATATCCTGTCACCTAATTTAAAGCAGATATGCCATTTTATGACATATTTGCACATTTTAACGTGGTTATCGCAAAATGTTCATTTGCTAAACTGTTGATATAGTAATTACTTATCTCACTAAGGTTTCAAGTTAAAATTGAGGAACAGATTATACAAATACTGTTAAAAGCAACTGCAAACTCGGTACATAGTGTATCATACTGATCCGAAAATTTAGCATGAGTACAGTGAACTTGAACAAGAAGAAATTGAAAATTAAGTAAATATGAAACTATACAAAAAGTAACATACATGAACATATGGAGATAAAGAACAGCATTCAAGATCAAAAGTCCATAAAACAATACAAAATAGGAGCAGAGCAAATAAGGATCTCCGAAACATCAGAGCTGGGATCAGGTGCCATGGAGGAGTGAGCATCCCCTGCCAACGGGTAACTCCCATCGTGTACTACTTGTCATGATCGGGAAATACCAGAAAAATCCGCCGTCAATTCAGTGTTTAAATAATGGGCTAACAATTAGTATGAAAAACGCCAGTCAGCATTTGACTCAATGATAAATTGTATTAATTTTGCTGATAAGGTCATTGTATCGACCATAGAATTTACGAAATGAAGACTTTAAACGAGACTGTTGATATTCTTGTTTCATCAACTTTTTTGTCAATAATTTACCTCGTTTTAGAAATTGTTCATACGTATCTAAAGCATGCTCTCGCGTATCGAATCATCCGAGATATAAACTCCGTATGCTGGTGATGAAGGTATATTGCTGCATAAGGGAAGTTGACGATAGAAAAGTTAAAGACATCAGGTTTGTCATGGAGCTTGGTTGTTAAATTACCATTAACGTCTTTTTAAGTAAAATATCCAAATATGAAACAAATGTGTCAGACTCTGTAGTATCTTTTATTTCAAATTCAACAAGATATATCCATTATCTAATTATAGAACGATGTGGGATGGAACATGTTCCAGTGACGCACTTCCTTTGCAGCAATGAGAAAAAAGCCTCGTTTAAACTAAAACCAAAAGAAAAGTTTTGTTGGCCAAATCTAATTTTTATGAAACAAAGTCAAACAAATTGCAGTATGTGCTTACGATTAATTCTTGATGAATATGATGCAGAGTTTTATTTTAATTTCGTTTCATTTGCATATTGCTGCGTTAAAACTATTTTGCGTTGGACGACTTTCCCTCCTCTTCCCCCAAGTTTCCCCAAACGGTGAGTCGGTGACCTTGGTAAATATTTAATAAGGGCCCATGATCTTTGCTATTTTTCACCAAACATTAAAATTTAATATGCGAGTTCTAGTTCTAGGATCTTTGTTATGCAATGAATATACAAGAAACAGCATTCCACCCTACATTGTGTAGATGCATATTGCACCCATTATGCTAGCTGCAGAACTGTACATGTAGAGTTATGGTTTTATATATTAGTCTTTGACAATAACATGGTCAGAGACTAATACCTAGGGTATATAAAACCCTAATGCTACAGTTCTGCAATTACCATTATGCAGAGACATATTTTTCAAATTTTTTACTTGGGTTAAAGAAATAGTAGAATGATGTGCTATAGAAAAAGAATATTTTACTTAAAAGCGACTGCATTCTGGCATTTTACAAGACATATAACCCAGCCGACATGCAACTTTATTTTCTTAGTGCATAAGCACACCGTCCAATATAGAGTCACATAATCGTACTTACTGTAAAAATGTTTGATGACTTGGCACACATGATGACTTGGCACACAATTTAGACCCAAAAAAATTCACAATAGTATAAATTTTAAAAAGTTGAGTCATTTTATTTTTAACACAAGGTAAAGAGTATGCTTAGTTAGAAAAAAAAACACAGATATGTATGTCAAAATAAAAATAAATTCTCACAGCCAGAAAATAAAAATGTGACATAAATCAGTAAACAGTAATTACTGTGTTTTGTATAACATCACAAATAACATCATCTTCAAAGCAAAGGCCTTGTAATGAAATCCCAAGACAGATCTAGTTTATGTTGGCACATGACATGGAGGCACAGAGTGATTGAAAATATACAGACAAAAATTCTTCATCCACATAAATCAAAATACAGATTTACTCATGGATTAAAACACAACATAAACTTTTCTCTTTGTATCTGTATGCAGTAAAAAGATTTTCCCATTAAAAATGATTTCTTCAATATATGTAGAACAACCACAATGAGACTGATATTTTAAAGCATGCATTAAAAAAAGGCAACAAAACTTCAACAAAAGGCAGTTCTTATATCCTGTAACATTGTATGCAAACAACACAATTCTAGACTGACTATTAAATCAGTATCACTTTATCTTCTCATTTCCCCATTAAAGTAGTGTTATTAGGACATCTGAAACCCCATGAATTTACCAGTAATGCAGATTAAAACATCATTTTGTCACCAAATTGACTGTCTAATAAAACATTTTGTATCAAATTGTCACATTATAATTGTGGTTGTGTCATTTTAATACTTACATTAAATATAACATGAATTAAATTTATGGGATTATTCATCTCTTAGGAGACAGATTATAGACTGTAATTCTGATCACTTTGTGCGAATTTGTAAATATGAATTTGTTGCCCAGAAATAATCCGTTCCGATTCCAGATTATATACACAACTGCAAGTTGCTAATGTATTTTTGTAATCTTTTTTTCTCACTGATAACCAGATGTGCTAAAAAAGGTTATTTTAGAGACAGTTTAGGGCAAAAGTCCCTGAATTTCTAGCACCAAACACTTCCAAATGTGTAAAGACACCTGAATACTATTCAACATAAAAAAAAAAGAAGTGACAAAATACATCCAGTCAATTTTTAAGGTCATCTGATCCATTTTCACACATTCTATATTATTTTCTATATCTGTTTACAATTCTAAAATTTTTTGGTTCTAAACTTCATATAAATGTCTCTCCAATAGTATACTTATATAATTTCTGTCTGAATCGTAAAACATACATGTATTGCAAACAAGATTAAATTAAAAGAGGATACAATTTTGAAGAAAAAAATCAACATTGTAATGACAAAAAAATGGCAATAAAAGCCAGTTTTAGAAGTTAAAACTGACACCCTTAACTAGAAGTAAGGCATCATGGTTAAAATGATTCTCTCCTGTTCAACTTGAAAAGAACTCACATATCCTGTACAGGGTAAATGTCTTAAGTAAGATAAGTAACATACAAGACACACACCATTAGAATGCAAATGAATTAATCAATTCATAAGTACATTAAGCAATTCTTTTGTAAAAGCCAATTAGGTGCTTAATATTATAACTAAATCTGAACAGAATTTAGGGCCACCAATTATAGAATTGATAGAATGACCAGTTTGTAATTCTGTCTGTGAACGTTGGTGACTAGAATAAATTTCTCAGGGTTGTGCTTTTCCTATGTTTTTGTGAAATGCAAACTATGACTGTGATTTACTTTCAGTTTACTTGCAAGAGATTCAACCATGAATCAAGAGGAAAGGGAACAATACAGGTTTCATGCAACTCTTAAACATTCAGATGACCCTGCCCCTAGCAAAACACTTCAGTGACCCTGATTCAACTGATACACTGGGTTAGCATCATGAAGACAATGTATACAAAATGCTTGGATGACTGTAAAGTTGTCACACAGGACCTGGGGTAAAAATGGTACCAGCCAGTCTTCTTTTGAACCAATAACAGTCAACAGTCTAGTCAGCTTAGTAAGCTTCAGTGGCTGTATCTGTTTTTGCTCCTATCCGAAGCAGTCTGTTGTGCTCCCGTTCATGCTCCATTAAGATGTGTTTGTCTTCTTTCAACATCTGCCGATGTTTCTGCAATTTTTCATAACTCTCTTCTCTCTGTGCATGCACCTGTAGCAACAAAAATAATGGTAAATGCCTAAATTTATGAAGCAAAGATTTGCTAAAAGAAAATTTCAAGACAATGAAATCACAAATCTCTAGAAATTGTGATGGTAATTAGGGAAACAGGGGTATAAATTACAGATCAGCTCATGTAAATTATAAAAAAAAAGAGCCATTAACAGTTTCAGTTTAAATCTGAAAAATTTCTGGCAAATGTGGTCGGCATAAAAACACAAATCAATGAAATTTCAATAAATAACTTGCACTGAAGACAATTGAGAAGTGATTGTAGATGAAAGGCTGAAGTAAAATAGTTAAATATTTCTGATATATTTTTTTTTTTTTTTTTGTATTTGTGCGATTCTTAAAACTGAGAACAGATTTTCTTTTTATCAGCTAGGATTAAATGATATACCTGCTTCTAAAAAAATACATGTACATGTATACAATAAATACACATGTGAAGTATGAAAGCCCTAGCATTAACTGTTCAAAAGTTATTTCCAAGGTTAAAGTTGGTCTATTTTTTTGCAAGTGGGTCAAATTCCAAGATCAAGATCAAAAGGTCAAATATATTGGTACCCAAAGAAAGCTCTTGTAGCAAGGAATGCATATGTAAAATTAGAAAGCCTTAGCTCTAACTAATAAGACTTATGCAAAAGGTTAAATTTTTTGCAGACAAACAGACAGACAGCTAGACAGATCATGGACAGGGCAGAGTGTGTGGTCCTTCATTTGAACATTTTTGAATTCCCTTTACCCACAGATGCATTGTGGCAAGTTTAGTTGAAATAGGTCCAGTGGTTTTGGGAGAAGATAAGGAAAATGAAAACATAACAAATGGACAACTGACAAAATGTGATCAGAAAATTTTTCTTGAGCTTTCTGCTCAGGTTAGCTAAAAAGTATTCAGCTTCAATAACATATTTCCTTTCAAAAGCACATGGACCAAAATAATTTTAGAGGAAAATGCTGTCTAAATTACTCATAAAATGTGTTGAAAAGGCCACAAAACCAGTGTAAATGATTTCTTACAAAACCAAAATTAATGTGTTCATTTTTATAGACTCAATATTCCTTCATTCAAAAAGGATTTCCCTTTCAATTTCTCACTGAGTTAAAACTTTAATACCTGACTTTGAAGTTTTGATTTTTCTTTGAAATTTTTAAAGTGGTACTTAACCTTTTTAATCTTTCATAAACATGATATAATCTCAATCTAAATACTACATGCAGAAAAGCAGCCTAAATGAAGGATATTGAAATTATGCTAATATATTGATGTAAAATCTGAATGGATTGAAAAATTTATGGGATTCATATGGCATTTTGTGTACAATGAATCAAGATTTTTATTATATAAACCTACATCACTGACAGACACAATCTAGATCATCGAAACCATCAAAGTCCCCGAGAACAAATTGTTCTGAGGCACAATGTCACCGATACAAATGTCACTGAAGATACAATACTCAGATTAGATTGTGGACAATCTAAATATCCTATCATAATATGTTTAAAATACTTTAAAAGTTTTCTAAAAAAAAAAATTTAAAGAGAATTTTTAAGTTACGGAGAAGTAATTCATCAAGACCATTGTGCCTCCAGTACACATACTGTATATATGTACGAAAGCATGTCTAAATATTCACTTAACCACAGCATATAAAGCAAGTGTTCAATACACATCTGGTCTCCAAGTTCCTAAAGTTTAAAGCCTTTCAAAATAATGGTTAAAAGAGTAAAGAGCTGGTAAACTTTGGTTGTCCCAGAACACCAATGTCATTAAATCTTTGTTCCTTGTATCAGCCGTATGAGTGGTTGAAGTTTAGCCTTACCCTTGTAGATAAGCTATAATAGAGGGTGTTTCTTGGGTACATGGAATAAGTACACAGTTGTTACTGTGATCATTTCAAGTATTTGACCTGTTTTTCTATAGCTGGAGTGATCTTCTACAACTTGAAGCTGACATAATCTATAAATTACAATACATTATACTGAGTTGATCACACTTCAGAACAAAATCTCCCCTTATCATAAATTTACAATACCTTAACTTATTGCCTACTTATCTTTCCAGTAAATGAATTAAAGGTTGTAAATTACTTTAAATGTTTTAAAATAGATTCTCCGATGATAAAGTTAAGCCTTAGGATTTGCAAAAAACCCTTACGCACTGATTTTTTGGAATTCAAGGATATATATTTGGGAGTATAAATTCTTTTTGCGGAATTCAAAAAGGATTTATTTTTAAACTCGAACAAAAACATAAAAAATGGTTCAATACAAAATGAGAAAATAAATTGACTTTAAAAATTGTTAAGGAAAACTTATATTCATGTGGTTGATGTTCTACAATGATTTGATTTTTTCCTATAATTAAATTGTGTAACTTCTACATCCTTTATTTTATATTACTAAATTATGGCCATTATATAATTTTATTACTCTTTAAAACACCTGTAAAATAAGATACTGTACTACTTATTTTGGTTCTCTTTGATGAGTGACGAATTAGCCATTGGATAAATCAAGTATTAAGTAATAAATTTCAATGAATGATTTGCTTTGATTTCTGCTTGCATGGGTGTGTTTGAAATATATGAATGAGTGTAAAACTTTTATTACTAACTTAACATGCATATGATATTTAGTCAATCTAACTGATACAAACTACAAACTGCTTATTGACACAGTTCGTTGCAAATAAATTTAATTTAGCTATAATGATTTATGAAAGTTCTAGATGAAATGACTTTTAAAGATCAATAAAAAGAGGATTTTATATTTAAATGTTTCAAAAAAATGATGGGAGTTGAAAATCTTTCCCCGTCTTTCTTGAACTTATAACAAAGAAAAAAAAAACGGAATTAGAGGAAAATGTGTACACTCCTATGTTACAATTACAACTACACCTCTGATGGTACGCAATTATCACTTCCCCTCTATCACGGTGTATAGAGGATGTGATAATAAATCCAGTGTACTTTAAGCCCTGTGATCTCTATTTGGAAATGAGATAATATGCTGAATACACACATCATTAAATTCTGTATTTGTATTTCTAAATGAAAAAAATATTTCATAAAGGTAACTAGCCAAATGTAATTATTTAGGGAGAGCTTCGAATCTTTTTAATCAGCAGAATTTCTGACATACGGGGTGATTACGTATGACTTACATCTCAATTTTATGTTTGCTGAATTATGTGGTAATCCCCACCCTATCATTTGACAACTTGACGCCACATGTAATTTGAATTTAGACACAATTTTTTTTAGTACAAGTAACATATTTCTCCACTTGTTTTGGATTTCCTCAAGCATACTGATGTAACAATTACAGAATGAATGGCATCAAGGAGAAGAATCTGTAAAAACTTCAAAATATTCTCATAAAAAATCCTATTTGTTGTAAATTATTATGATATCGTAATACTTACATGATAAAACATAAGTTCTAGAACTGAAAGTAACTGAATAATATTTCAGACTTTAAGCACAAATTCTAGAAACAATAGTAACAAATAACAACATCAAGACTTAACCCAAAAAAAATGAGGAAGGGTATTTATTACGCAGGTTTTTTAACACAAGTTTTCTGACAAAAAAATCATCAGTCTCTATCCCTTGAGCTACTTTAAGAGACTCTTACAGGCTCTTATGGCAAATGAGAGCACCATAAGTTTTGCTCTCTTTATACACAGGTGCACAGCCGATAGCAAAAGAAACAAAATTTAATCAGTTACCTAATTGTCAAATTATCATATAGCAGAAAGTTGTGAAAAAGATGAATGAATGTGTAAGTTGCTTTTTCTTGAAGTGGTACAAGGCGTATTATTATGGAAATCATTTGATCCTTCGATTAGGATCTGATGTTACAGATTCTAAGTTTTATGTTTTCTCACGATATGTTAGAAAGGCAAATGTTTGTATTATACGTGATGAGATATCCCTAACACCTGCTTGTATTCATCTTTTAGTGCAGTCTTATTGTTACCTCACAAAATACGAGATATAATGTGATAATAGATTGATAATAGAAGTTTTCATCACCTAGCATGACTGAAATACCATGCAATTTTTCAAACACTATATGTAAATACAATTTATTTTATTTTCTCATTAAACATGCATTGCTTGCAATATGAACTGCATTTTTTTTTCTATATAAACAGTGTATATTAAGATCCCACTTTGTATTACTGCATGTAGATCACCAAACTTTCTTGACATTTTATTTTTGCTGTATAGGTACTTGGTATTTATGCATTTAGATGAAATTTTCAAATTTTAGTTTTGGTATTGTTGAATATAATTCAAACTAATAAAATATATGGGGAAATGAAATTTTTGTTTGCAGACCCTCTCACAAAATAACAAGAAAAAACAGAGCTCTCAAAAATAAAAAGTGCTTGCCTCTAAATCTTAATGTAGATGTAGGAAAAAAAAATGCTGGCAAAATAATGCTGATAAGCTAAAATCACCAAGTCTGATATAAATACAAAATTTAAGCTATGTGTTTAAAATATAAGCCAAATGGTATAATTAAAGTTTCAGCAACTGAGAAAAACATTTAAGATATAAAAATAAATAAAAAATCTGTTGATACAAGAGGCCCACGGGCCTTATAGGTCACCTGAGCATTCTGCAACAACTTTCCAGTTATTGAATTTGATTTCTGTTTTAAGCCAGATGCTATATAGCATTCACAATTTTTGAAAGAGGCACCATTGATCATCATAACAATACACTTAGCAGTTGCTAAGCTTGGTTTATTGATTTAAATATGCCCACTAATAAGTTCATAGGATCTTCATGAACGTTTCATGAACATTTCATGAATAAAATTCATGAAAAATTCAAGGTAATTCATGAATTATTCATGATCACCTTGCAGGGGTACTGAATACCCATACGAAGATTAGGGCCCTTGCTCATCATAACTATTTAGGTAGTTCATCTGCTTCATACCCAGAGACAGAGAAGAAAATTTTCAAAGATTTAATGTATATTCACTATATAATCAATAGAACCCCCCCCACACACACACACACCAGAACCCCTGACCCTGGGACCATAAAATTCACATTTTGGTAGAGACACTCTTGCTCATCATTACTATGTACTTAGTTAGTTTATTTAATACCTAGGAGCAGAGAAGAAGATTTCCAAGAATTTATGTATTTTTACTACATAATCAATAGTAACCCCACCCTAACAACAGAACCCCTGACCCTGGGACCATAAAAACAATTTTGGTAAAAGCACTCTTTCATCTTAACTATGCACTTCGTTAGTTTATTTAATACCTAGGAGCAGAGAAGAAGATTTTCAAAGAATTCATGTATTTTTACAATATAATCTATAGAGCCCCCCCCCCCCCCCCCAACACCAGAAGCCTTGACCCAGGGACCATAAAATTATTCACAATTTTGGTAGAGGCACTCTTGCTCATCTTAACTATGCACTTCATTAGTTTATTTAATACCTAGGAGCAGAGAAAAGATTTTCAAAGAATTCATGTATTTTTACAATATAATCTATAGAGCCCCCCCCCCCCCCCCCCAACCAGAAGCCTTGACCCAGGGACCATAAAATTATTCACAATTTTGGTAGAGGCACTCTTGCTCATCATAACTATGCAAAGTTAGTTTATTTAATACCTAGGAGCATCTAAGGAGATTTTCAAAGAATTTATGTATTTTCACTATATAATCAATAGAAACACCAAAATGTTTGTGGGGCCATAAAATTCACAATTTTGGTAGAGGCACTCATGCTCATCATAACTATGTACTTAGTTGGTTTATTTATATCTAGGAGCAGAGAAGAAGATTTTCAAAGAATTCATGTATTTTTACTATATAATCTATAGAGTCCCCCCCCCAACTGAACCCTTGACCCTGGGGCCATAAAATTCACAATTTTGATAGAGGCACTCATTCTTATCATAACTATGCACTTAGTTAATTTATTTAATATCTAGGAGCAGAGAAGAAGATTTTCAAAGAATTCATGTATTTTTACTATATAATCTATAAAGCCCCCCCCACCAAAACCCCTGACCCTGGGGCCATAAAATTTTTGGTATAAAGCACTGTATATTAACTATGCACTTCGTTAGTTTATTTAATACCTAGGAGCAGAGAAGAAGATTTTCAAAGAAATCATGTATTTTCACTGTATATAATCAATAGAGCCCCGCCCTAACACCAGAACCCCTGACCCTGGGGCCATAAAATTCACAATTTTGGTTTTGTTCATAACCAACTACTTAGTTGGTTTATAATACCCAGGAGCAGAGAAAATATATTCAAAGAAATAATGCACTATCACTACCTACTTATTTAGCCCTGCCCTAGCACTAAAACCCCTGACCCCAGGGTCATGAATTTCACAATTTTGGTAGAGGACTCAATGCTGATTACAGTCATGCAAACAGTTTGACTGCTTGATGTCCAGGAGTAAAGAAGAAGATTTTCAAAGATTGCATTAATTTTAGTGGTTTTGGCCCCAATCAGGCCCCAGGGGGGCAGGGATATAAATTCACAATTTTTGTTCCCTTTCACCCATAGATGCTTTGTGCCAAATTTGGTTGAAATTGGTTCAGTGGTTGCAGAGAAGAAGCTGAAAATGTTCAAAAGTTTACGAACGACACGACGTACGACGAAAAACACGAACGAAGATATAAAAATAAATAGGTCACCTGAGTTTACTCAGGTGACCTAAAAATGTAAATTCTGTACAACATTTTATTTATGTGACACATAGCAGTTTATCCATTACAAAAGGACAAAAGACAATCCTACACCATGTTAAGTTTTATGACATCCTATAATACATTTTTATTTCAAAATTGTCACCTACAACATAAAAGGCAAGACATGGCTATACGTTCTATCAAAATGCCACAGATTTATGTACCAGTATTTTGTTCTATCCCCTGTAGAGTCTACCGCAAAGAAGACATGATTTACCGTAGGTTAAGTTCCCATCACCCACAGTTAGACATAATGCCTCCCCACATACCCATAGAAAAAGAAACCTTTGAAACATATATGGATAAATGGAGGCTGAATAATTTCTGAAAAATAGCAGACTAAAAAGGTATCCCTGTTATTTCAAGATTGAAGCAGACCTAAAAAAGTTGAATGTTATCATATTTTTCAGTATTTTTTCCCTTCTTCAAACAGCCATATATCCCTTGTGATTGGATAAGATGATTTTGATAAAGCAATCTCATTGTAAAAGATCAACTCAAAAATCATTAACAGTTCAGGATAGGGCATACGATAGTAATCACAACATGAGCACGGAAACCTAAAACGTAGCCTTTACCAGTATCAAATGTGCTAATTGTTATCCAATTTCAAAGAAACTCATAAAGATTTAATTAAAAAAACTGTTTTTCTTTAGAGCTAAAATTTGACACTTTCCTTCTGTGAATGGACATAAAGCCCTACAGATAGGTATGTCCACAACTTTTGTACAAATTCAAACACTTTGTGATCATGGTCCCTATCACAAAACATGAGCTGATGGCTTCGATAACCCAGCTACTTGTGAAGCTTTTGGCAATTACCCTTTGTGGGTTCTGTACTAATAGTACCTTACAGATAAAACAAGAAAACAGATTCACCAATGGCAACTAGAGGACAGTGCTTCTTGCCAACTTATTTTTCTCTATAATTTGATCTTGTAAATTTTACCCCCAAATGTTCACTAAATGTAAAAAATACCTCTAATTACATGGTTCTTATCTTTTATCCCCATACAAGATTTCACTTTAAAAGGTTAAATTAAGACTAAAAGATCAATTATTATGTTCAAAGGCTCTATACAATCATTTCTTTTAAAACATTTCTTACTTAGTTTTTTTTTATTTTTTTCCCTTGTCCATTAACGCAAAACACAAGTCAATGGCACTTCATGGAAGTCTACAGAAAATTACCCCTATGTACTTGATCAACCAAGATAATGCTAGCATATCATTGACTTCTGCTGGCTTCCAAATGGATTAACAAGGAACCCATAAGCCACACAGATCATAGGAGTTATCTGTCAGCAAATCATCACAGCAGGAACATAATTCCAGCCAGATAAAAATATTCTCTGAAGTATTTGTCTATAAGTAATGAGCATTATCTCCATGTGAAGGGGGCAGATAGTAAAGTGTGTTACAATCCAACTCTCTGTTCATCTGTATTTTGCATTTTTGTTTGCAATGGAGTAGTGTATCTCTATTTGTGGTCCAAGTATTTGACATCGTGTCTTAATCCATCAAAAGATGTTTTAGTTTTGTACATCAAGATAAACCATATTTTTGCACTTAAAAATGCATATATTTAAAAAAATTTAACACTTTACACAATACCGGTACTTTGGATTTCATGACATCCTTTTTGAGTTTAAGGCAGGTAAGGAGAAGAAAAATGGAATACATAATGTCTTAATTGTAGTCCAACCTTTATCTGACATGCATGTACTTCAGTGATAGACAAATTCAGAAATTAATCTGAGCTGCTCACCTTGTCCAGTTCTGCCTTTTCTCGTACAAGTGACTGCTCAAGCTCAGTCTCTTCCCTGTGAGTTTCAGCGAGCTCGTTTTTAACTCGGATGGCATTCTTCCTCTTGAGTTCCGCTAACTGCTGCTGCATTCGTCTGACCGTTTGCTCCTGCTTCTGGCGAGCGTACTCGGCATTCCTCATCTTATTGTACAAAGAGTGCTCCATATCATCACCCTTTGTCACCATTTTCTGAGGAAAAAATTTCCATATCTTAATACTAATTAAATTCTAGTCTTTTCAATAAATTTAAAAATTCGAAAATGAATACACTAGGGTTGGTAATGAATAAATATACAAGTACTTGATAGAAAACATGTATGACATGTTAATTCTAAATTCTTGTTCATTTTCTTGATTGACTACAGATTTTCAAACATTTTTTTTTTCAAAAAAAAAAGTTTTAAACATAAAAGTACAAATTTCAGATTTAGTGATTCATTGACAAACCATTTATATTACAATTCTGAGTCACATCAAATTTTGAGCTTTGTGATAAGACAACTCATCAAATCAACTTTTGTGTTCAAAATATATAAGGAAACTTAATGTTAAGACAGGGAAGAAAGCTGAAATACAATATTTAAGGAACAAGAAAAAAAAAATAAAATAAGTGATTTGAATGACAGTCACCATTTTTAACATAAACTTCCTTTAAATTACACGTTTTGTCATTCATAAAATACTAACATTATGTAAGAAATTCCACCATTCAATGAAATTTTAGCATTTTTCTAATGCAGTACAAAAATACGCATTCATCCATGAAGTGAGCATGCTGAGAAAATTAACAAGTAGTCTTATGTTAAAAAAATCTGAACAAATTTCTAAATGATTTCTACAGAAATGCTGAATAATAAGTCTTTTCAACTCAGAACATCTTGTGGTTTAAATGCTATTTGTTCCTTTTTCATATTATTATTATTTTCTGTTTAAAAATGTCAATCCTTGTATAGGACTTGTACAGAATGCTTGTTTAGACCACCTAGGATGATTATTAGCTTGAGCGTTTGTGGATTAAAAAGCCCAACCTTGCATGAGCTCTTCTTTTTTTAACAAAAGTTTAACCACATTCATTTTTTTTCTCTTATTTTTTAAATAAATATCTTTCTAAAAACTTGATTTGATTGCGATAACTACATTGTATGCAAACTATAAGACCTTAACCCATTTCTCTTTAAATAATGAAAGAAAGTGACATGACAACAAACAGGTTCTATAGAATAATTCTTTATGACTCTGAAGTTGAAGGCAATCAGCATTTCTACTGGGAAGTTACAACCCATGGAATTCATGAATTATATCCATACTAGTTGGAAAGAGGAGTAACAAATCTGTCTTTTATAAAATGCAATTGCTCCAAGTCACTATAAGTCTCGAAAATTTGACTCAAAATAATAAAAATAAACATAATGTTTGACTCAAAACAATTAAAATAAAAATTAAACACTTTTTAAAATTCATCTTGCATTGCTACCCCTTTTCCTTCCCCTGTCCAACTCTCATTTTTTCTCTTCATGCATCTCGATCTGCTCTCTCCAATTTTCGATAATAAACTTGAATAACTGTAATGAAATTATTCAGTGTAAATTCAACAGCAATACTTCGGTACCGTACCTGGAAAAACTTGAGGGAGTCTTCATGTTCTAAGCGCTGTTTATCATTGAATCTCTTCTTGAATCTAGATTGGCAGATTTCTTCATGCTGAGCACCTTTCTCTTTTCTGGCTTTCAATGATGAATTCATTAAATGTATTCTTCTCATATTATGAGCCTGAAATGAATATTTAGATCATAGGTTATCTTCAAAACTTGTCAAAAAATGTTAAAATGCACATTTATGATAAGAAAAGTGGCTAATCATACAAGTTTAAGTTACGAGTTCCATAAAATCTGATACATATGCTATGAAAATTCTTTTATACACTTCTGAAATGAGAAATATGCAACAACCCAATAAATCATAGGAACTTGTAAAGCTATGAAGGTGTAAGTTTACATATTACAACTGCTATTTAGTAGTTACTACAATGTGACTAGGGGGTGGCTCAGTTTTAACCACTTTTGATATAAGAGCACTTGTTTCTTATATAATTTAAAAATAACAAGTCAGCAGGAAACTTTGTTTACAGCCAATGTTGCAACAAGACCTGATTTTATTTTTATATATCAAAATTTACTTCCTGGCCAGAGTATATGGATTTCAATTACCGAGTAATTATAGGGTATCATCATGATCTTTCAGCCATCTTAATCAAGAACATTCCAAATATTTGATAGATATGAAGTAGTTTGATGAAATGCATATATTTTTTAACCTTTACACACTCACTACAGAATGTGCAATTTTAAAGCCTTGAATAAATATGTCTAGAATTGATATGGAAGATGACCCCCAAAATTCTCCTTTGGTAAACAAGCACTTACCCGACATATAAACCTTTGACACATGGAATATTTCAATATCATTTATTGACTCATCTAATACACACTGAATTGTGAATGAGCTTTTATTTTGTGTGAAAGAATGAAAATTTGCCCATGTTTTTAATATGAAGCTTATACGGCAAGACACGGACTGGATCTAGAAATCGGCCTTTATTTTCTAGTCATTCATAGCAAAAGTAGGACCAAGTAAGCCCAATATAAATTGTACATAAATGCATTTAAGTGTAAATTAATTGCAAAATGAATCTGCCTAACATGAAGTTTTAAATCCTATGCTTATCAGATGTTCCAGCCAGGGCAATATAAAACTGATTTTGTGCTTGTGAATGCCAGGTCTACATAGAAACCAACCTCACTTCCTGAAGAGAAAAATGTCAAAATAACAAAAACACTTAATGGAACCGGTCCTGCTTTGTCTTGTATATCTCTCTGACATCAACGCTTTGTTTATGTTACAAACTGAGGAATGGTCACATGGAAAAACATATAGAGTCAAAACTTGCCCAAATTAAGTGCAACTCTTACATAAAAAATTTCAAAAAGTTGATAATTAGAATACTGTTAGTCACTGTTCCGATTTAATTTAAAGAAAAACAAATCTTTATTCTGATACGATTATAATGTCAAAATTTTATCTCCTAATCTTTAAAGTGATTGGATTGGTTCACAAATTGTTATTTTTACTTCGTTAACAAATAAGTTAGTGATTCTGATGATAATAAAATAAACAATAGGCCCGTGGGCCACAATGCTCACTTGAGTAACTTCAGCCCTGCTGTTCATCAGCTGCATTTCCCCCAAATATATGTTTCCATTGTAAAACTATGATCTTCTAATGTATGGTCCAATCTTACCCTGGGGTCATTATTTAAACAAATTTAAACCTAAACTCATAATGCTCCCTCTGTGGCCTCTATTATCCTCAGGGGGTCAAGATTTCAACAATTTGAATCTTCTCAAACTGGGGAACTTCAATATAAGTAATCCTGGCCATGCTTAGTTCTTGAGCAAAAGACTTTTAAAAGGTACCATTTAATTTTCAAAAATTGGAATCACTCCTTAATTGAAAGAAGGCTTGGCCCTTCATTTGAACAAATTTTAACCTTTTTCACTCAAAAATACTTTGTGGCAAATTTTGTTGAAATTGGTTCAATATGGTTCTGGAGAAGAAGTTTAAAATGTGAAGTGTTCACAAATTGTTTTAAGTCCTGATTGCCTAAGAATCTTACCTATTTACTAATTACAGACAAAAATGTTTTGCTCATCATAATTTTGCTTGCCGCATCTTAATTTCTCATAACATGCAAAGTTGTGTATTTGGTGGTGAATGGCATTCATTTTTTTTTTACTAAATAACATGCAAAATAAGATATTGATAATTTTGAATGGAATATTTCAGCAGGATATTAAGAGATGACGTCAAATATTGCAATTTTGGACAAATTAGCTACGAGGAATAATCAGCAATCATGCAAAAAAAGAAAACCTTCAGAATCCCTGACAAACATATATTCAAACAAACAAATTTTATGGCCACGTGTGGGACAAAGATTATTCCTTAGAGATTGCACAACCTTGACTGGGAGATGACTTATCGAGACTAATGAGAGTAATTACCATTCACAGAAGTGTACACAACCTGTCATACGGGTGTTCATTTAGAAGATTACCACCATATAAAGTTTCAAACTCATCTTGCACCTGTGAGGGTAAAAGAAATCTACTTGACTTTCATTTCAAGAAAAAAAGAGGCTAAAAACAGCAAATGGGATAATGGACAAAGGTTCCAAATGATCGGAAACCATTAATGTTTTGGACATGTGACTCCTTTGAATTCGGTGCTTTAACCCTAGTTTTAAATCTAAATGCACCAAATGCCTAATCCACTCAAGCTGAGTCGCTAATTAGAGCTTTTGTGTGTCACAGTTCACGGTCTGAAGTTAAACAAATTTTCAAAGACTCTATGCATGGGGTGTATACTTAGTTATTTATTGGACTGTTTTTGTTTTCTTAATTCTTTTACAACAGTATGCTTGAAACTGACCAAATGAATCTCAAATCTAATGTAACTTAGCTCCTCTAACATTTTTTTCAAATATGTATATTTTTGTTCAGTTAAAAAATTATAAATTTGAAAAACATCTTGATTGGTAAATAATACATTTAATCAAGAATTAGAAAAAATAAACTGGATGAAAGAACAAATCATTTTTTTTTATTTACGAGGTAAATTTTCTCAGTTTCACACAAGCATGATTACCCACAGATCTGTGTGGAATTTTTAATCCTTCCCATATCTATATAAGTCTATAAACTTCAAACTAGAAGTTTTCTTTATAAATAATTTAATTTTGTTTGTATTCTCGCCTCTCATTGGTTGAATTCCAAAAAGAAACTCAAAACATTCTGTATAATCTGGTTTGGTATGGGGACACACCCCCTTGACGACCAGCTTAATCATCATATCCATGCAATCCCCTCATTTCCAGTCCTCGGACTCCATGGAAAATTCCAAATTTAATAAATGTACCTTCAACTTTAAACAATTACTCGTTCTTACCTCTTGTAAACAAACATCATGGCTGCTAGATCTATGTATCAATTATTACCTCCCCTCGCTTCAAATCACTTCTGTTACTACGGTTGTATTATTGCGCGGTAAATTTGAACTTATAAAAAGCAGCACAATTTTTCATTAAAAGTTGTTTAATTGTTTTAAAATTAAATTATAAGGAATGACTTTAATTCTTGGCCATATTATCGAGTATAATCTGGTTTGGGTCAGTTTATGCTTTTTTATCATCCGCTTCACGGATTATAAAGCGTAAACTGACCCAAACCAGATTATACTCGATAATATGGCCAAGAATTAGAGTCATTCCTTAAATGTGCATGTATATGTCCTTTCTCCACTAATTATTCCAGCCAACATCCAGTACAAGATACAACATATCTCCCCATGTGTAACAGTCATGCATATAGATTAACTCTCTTTTACAGAAATCAATGCTTTTTTTACAGAAATATATTGAACCCAAATAGACCCTTTAACTTTCATGCCAACAAGAATAAGAAAAGTAACTTGAGAAAAATACCAAGAATATACAATAGAAGTTCAGTACACCTCATGCAAATCATAATCAGTCATGCATAGTAAAATGGGGTAAATCATTACCAGCATTTCCATATGACCTGTATAAAACCAAAAAAGAATGAGCATCTGAAACTATTTTTCTATTATATTTATTTTTCTATTTTATTTGAATACTCAACAAAAGGGAGATAACTCAGATATGTAATTTATTTAGTATAGAACCTAAGTGTCTATGAAAAACAATGGTCAACCTTTTTGCAGTGAGCATCTCATAAAATTCATTTGGGTATTTTCAAAAATACCACCATAAGAAAACACTCTGAACATGAGTGAATACAGAGGTTTAATAATACTTACTTAGAGAACTTCAGGCTATTGAGATCGTATTTGTTGGGGTGCAAGTATATTGGCATATTTTAACCATCTTGTCTATCATTCATAGGACCCTCAATCATACATTATAAATTGAAGCTAGTTTTTGAATTACTAAAAGTTATGGTAACAATTAATGGTTCTCAAAACTGCATCAAATGCTAAACTGAAGGTCCAGGGGTAAAATATCAATATACATTCCAAAATTTCAAGGGTTTGTCAAAAGTACATGTAGTGCACATGTGAAAGAAATTACTGTCTCACTTGGAGCAAAGGTCACATCCAAAGTTATTTTTTTTATATGGGTCAAACTTCTTCTTCAAGATCATGGATAAAAAAATCAAGTTCTTTCTGAAAGGTTTTGTCACAGGTAAAATATGCAAACCATGTACTCTTTCATTCAAAAGTTACCATCAATGTGTAATATTTTTGAAAAGTAAGTAAAATGTCAAAATTACAGGTTCTAAATCATGGGATATTCAGAGAGCCAGGTCTTACAATAGGTAATGCACATATCAAATATGAATGCCCTATCTTCTTCATCCAAAAGTTATAATCAATTTTAATATTTTGAATAGTTGGTTAAACTTAAAGGTCAAGGACAAGGGGTCGAAAATCATACTTCACTTTTAAATGTTTTTTAATAGGATAATGCAAGAGTTAAACAGGAACACTAAATCTTTAAATCTTCTTTCATTTAAAAAGTCATCACCAAAATCATTTTTTTTCAAATTAGGTCAAACCTCACTGATACAGGTTAAAATCAGAGTTCATCTGGAAAAGTCTTGTCACAGATAATGCACAGTGTAAAATATGAAAGCTCTATATTTTCTCATTTAAAAGTATGACCTAAGTTAATGTTCTTGTGTCTGATAAATAGAATGATAGATGGACTGACATACAAATGAAATTTAATTCCCTTTACTTTCACAAAATAAGGGTACAATAAATAAGAAATGACTTACCTCTACATTTTTATCTATTTGTTTTGCCTTAAGGTCCATCTCTGCATATTCAGCAGCTTCATTTAACTGTTTCTGTATGTTAGAGTTGTCTACAAGTCTAAACTGAGTATCTGTCAGATGTCTTTGTTCTGTAAACAGACACAACACATGGTACACATGTGCTTGTTTGAGATACTTTTCTCTTATCTGACAGAAAATTATTTCAAAGATTCTTTGGATGAAATCAAAAGAAATGTCCACATACCATAATTCACACTCTAATCATTTATTGTAAATAGGATGCATGAGAAGCAGTGTTGTAAGGAAGATAACTCTTACCGTCTCGTTTTTTGATGTCTAGATGAGATTTAGTTACAGTAAGATCAGCACTGAGTTTTCTTTTGGTTGATTCTGCTGCTTTTGTATCACCATCACTTCTCCTATAGACAGGATATTTGAATTTGTGCATTAGACTTTGCAAAAATTGCTAATTACTGGTAATAAACATGTTAAGAAATGGTACAATTTTAGATATAGCTTGAATTTTTTAAAGTATACATCTATTAAATTACTATGTAAATGTGCTGAGACAATTAGGTTAAAAAAAATTACATTAGTTTATTTTCTACAGTCTTCTCAGCTGTTAAATCCTCTTGTATCTTTTTAGTTTGCTCCTTCCTCTTTTCTCTGAAAGGAAATAATCAATGATCACTGTTCTTTGAAAAAATAGAATACATTTTGAATAATACACTACGTACTGATATGTACAAATTCAAGTTATGGTTGGCAAAAAATCATTATCTATGCTCATATCTGATTAATTTTAATTTAATATCAGATCATTCTTACTTTTCCATATCAAACTTTTGTTTTCTCCCTTTCTGAGCCTCCATGTTTAGTTTGATTGCAAGGTCAGCTAATTCTTGCTTCAGTCGAAACTGTTCCTCCTACACAAAAAAAGTAACTATTTTTATCAACCAAACGTCCATATAGGATAACAAATAACCAAGTTTGAGTCTGGGATCAAATTCAAAATTTTCATATTAGAAGCATTATACAGTACATACCTCCTTCTTTTTCATTTTGGTCTCGTAATCGGAGCTCATTCTCATAACGTCCATTCTCTTCAGCTCGAGTTCACTCATCTTAGCTTTATACTGCCTGGTTAAGTCGGACCTGTCAAACAAAAAAAAAAAACTTGTAATGCTGCATAGGAGTAGTTGAGAAAAAATCCTTAAAGAGTTCTCCTACATGTATGCATTTCTATGTACAAAAGATGTCCTCATCCTATTTCCTTTCAGCTGCAACAATTTGAACAAGCTGAAATTGAACCTTTATCAGTATATATATAACATGAAACTTTTAATCAAGTTTTATCCTTTTCCTATCTCACTGCTTAGTAAGAACAATTTTTACTGACTCTACTTCATTTTGCAGTATTTTCAATTACATAAACATGTCTTTCCCTTTGTACAGGGTCCTGATTTTTATTTAAATGGAACTGAATCTCCTTCAATGAAGGCCACTTTTTGGCAAATATAGTTAGAAGAAGATTATTAATATGTGACTATGATGACCCATGAAGACAGCAAAAGATCAGCAAAATGACTTAGCTGCCTAGCTGGCCTATTCACAGTTTTACTTGCACATTTTGGTAAATTGAAAAACATTAGTTTACAATGAAGATACCTGAAGGAAAAGTTATACCTGCTTAAAAAAATCATCATGATCTATATACTTAAGGTCTTTTTAACACTAATCCCAATAGACAGTTAGGTTGTATTAACTCAGACTGTTTGATGATGCTGACAATGTGCAAAATAATTATGTATTTGATATGGTTGTGCATGGCAAATGCTATTAAAAGTACTTAAAACAGTCATCATGACCCACAATTACAGGACAACAACATACCCTTAGTCATAGAGTTTTACACTAAGAAAAGTCCAACAGACAAGTCTAGTACCAGTAAATAAGTGGTCTGTTTGTGTAAAATGTACGTGAACTAGGCTCAGTTGGCTGGAACCTATTGAAATACTGCCACACACAAAATATGATGGTTTCAAAAGTTACCTTTAAATTAAAATTCTCAATTATTAGAAGTTTGGCCAGAGTTAATGCTTTGATGGTCAGTGCTAGTAAAAATAATGGGAAGTAGCCCATCTGGTATAGTACTTTAAAAAATAAATGACCAACCCCCCCCCCCCCCCCCCACACTTCTGACAAATTTGAAGATTCTACATATCAATGCAAAACATGAGCCTAACATAACCTATTATCAGGTTAAAATATACCTATACTCCCCATAATGCATCAAATGGCAAGAAACTGGAAGACTATTCTTGTAATTTAAAGGAAGATTTTTTTAATATAATTTTTTACCGTCACTCACCTGATTACACGTATCACACAAACTTACTTTGCAAGCTGATTTTTTCTATCCCGATCTTTGAAAGCCTGGTTAGAATGTACATTATTCTGTGTGCGATTCTTTGTTAACTGAAATTTCAAGCGTAAAATGATAGAAGCTATGAATCAAAACATGCACTTAGTACTGTCAACACTTACAAGTGCAAAAATGCCTTTCTACTCTCTTGGCTATACTCTTGATTTTCAAGAATAGTTTTCCTAGTACGCTCTTTGGTCCTCTGAAATAAAGATAAAAAATAACCATACAAAGACTTTCACCTAAGGAGAAAAAAAATCCACCCTGTAACCAGGCTATTAGATTAAGCTTCAGCTGTTAACAAAAATCTCTGCCATCTAAGATTTGAAAAAAAGAAAACATAGATCATATGCACCACTTGAAATAAAAAAAATTATGGCATCAATATGACAACATTGACTCTCTGTGTTTTCTAACTCACCTCTTCTTTTTTATGTACATGGTCTTTTCTAAGCACTGTATATTTCTCCAGCCCCTGACTAAGCTTCTTCTCTTCTGCCATTCTCTTCTTGTTTATAGCTAAAAATAGGTAACAAAAATACTTAATTGTTTTATGCATTGAAAAATCAGTTTAACTGGCTCTGCTGCGTTTTTGCTCTGCAATCAATACTCACAAATTTTCTTCATTTAGAATGTACATGTATATTTCTACATAATGGCTTTAAAAGCTTTGTAAAAATAAGCCAGTAGTCCAGTGGGAATGTCTTAGATGGACTGGATTGGTAGATTTAAAAACATTGTCATTTTTTTTTGTACTGCAATTGTATATAACTATATAACTAATTTTCTTGCAGCTTAGAAATACTGTCAACAGAGGCATATAAAAACAACTGCAAACTTTATAGATGTCACATGTAGGGAGAGGGTGAAATTAAGTTAAAAGAAATTGTGACAAATCCCATTGTATGTATACATTACAATAAATTATGTTCAATTCAAGAGCATGGTACATTTTTCAGTCATTTTAAATGAACATCTGATATGACTAAAGAAAAAATTATCATGTTAACTCCATACAAATAATTTCAGAAAAATATGACAAATAAAGGTATGAGAAAAAAAAATACAGAATGATAAAAAAGCAAAATTGAACAGCAATGAGGAAAGAGGAAGAGGATTAAAAACCTCTTACAATTTGATTTGAAATATTTTATATAAATTTAACTACAGTACATTGAACAGAATGACATTACCATTTTCAAAGTCTCTGAGCGTGTGTCTGACTGCCCTCTGATTTTTAATGATATCCCCTTCTGTTCTCTTTAGTTCCCTCTCCTCTTGTTTGTGTTGCCACATATGATCCTATGATTGAAAAAGACCAAGAAATGTTTCAATGTTATCCTCTCTTTATAATCACAACAGGAATCATTTTTTAGAAATGGAAAAATTATTGCTTGTAAGATGATATTTTTTACCAGTAAAGTAACATGTATTTTGTTAATCAAATAAAACAATTTGTTCCTACATTGAATTTTGTATCAAGACTGATTTTGCCTACCTCTATGACTTTGATTCGCCTTTGGTAGCCCTTTTTATCCTGCTCTATACGAGAGGTCAGGGTGACCACTGAGGGCTGTCCTGAGACACTGGCAGCTCTACGACGTCCAGTGGCATCTTTCTTTATAAGGAATGAGTGCGAGTATCTGTTAGAATCTAAAAACCCCTCTGGTCCAACTTTTCTCTCTTGATCTCTGTAATGGATATTTATTAATCATGATAAGAGTAACAAGATAGATAAATTAGGGAATAATCATGGTTTTAAGTATTTAAGTTTTTTTTACTTTGCCTTTATCATTATTATTTGAATGTTCATACAATTACAAATACCAGAAAGAAAAACGTATATTAATTAGCCCATTACACAAAAAGAAAATGTCTAGAATACTTTTTAAAGACTTTCATTTACATTCTTTTGCTAAAATTATTTTCCAAACTTTTTCAAATTGGTTTTTAAGATGATTTAAAATTTCAATTCCTTCAATGCATTTAAGATAGCTGTAATACTATTAATTTGGCATTAACAGATTAATAATCAATAAATCATTCAACATTTTTATATTTACTTGAGGAAAGCTGCATAGTCCTTGGAAGAAGACCTGTGAGTTTCTTCATCTGCCTTAAATGGTGGAGCACTCCCTGGTCGACAGATTGCATTGTACCTGCTGTGTATGAGGGCATTTCTTTCAAATGGAAGATCTGTTAAAACCATTTTTCTCCTTTAATTTCTTCCCTACAAAAACCGAGAAAATAAATTGGGGGTAATAACAATTTTCATACATGAATATGAATCATTCTAATGACTGTTTTACAATATGCAATTTTGATTGGCTAATGACTGTTGAATTAGGCAGTTAATTGAGCATAAAGAAGAGAGTGAAAACTTTGATCATGCTAGAATGAAGCTAAAACACAACTTCAAGGTCAGTCATAAACACTTTGTGACATTTTTCATATAACAAAGCAAAACTCAATAGAATTAGAGGTACAGTGAGGCATGAATTCAATAGGTTCTGTGCAAGCGTCATTCAAAATTTAATTTTGTGGTATAAGAGGAGTTTCTTAAAGCGATGGGTACCCCTAAATTGAAGAATGGCAGTGTCCATATTTTGCTACAGGAAGCAGCAGAAGCTCCCAATATTGGTCTGATCAGAAAATAAAATACAAGGTCACGATGGCAATTTGTACTAAACCTAGGCAATCTGAGATTTAAGAGCATACCTAAACAAATGTTGTCTTTTAATATGTAATGAGTGGGTAACTCAGTAGATAGAGCACCTGATTAGTGATGCATGGGTTTTATCTGGAATACCCTACATCTTTTTCTTCTTTCCTGTTACAGATTTACTGCCATTGTCAAGCCCCTGCACTTGCAGGTAAAGTCCTGCCAGGTGTAAATAAAAACTTGAGTTGTGTCTTTGAAAGCATGTTTAAGGAGGAATGAATGTTACAGTTTGGGACCAATCACCATGGATAGCTCAGGAGGTAGAGCACTATTCTCTATCGAATAGTTTAATGACTCATTTCAATAGTGAGCACAGTGAGCATTGCAAAGTGATGCTTAATTGTCACTTCCAGCTCTATAATGACAACGACTGGGCAAAGAGAAAATTTGTTCTACTGCACATTCATTCTATAGAAATTTTGCATCAATGCATCACTTCGTAAAGCTACAATCTCGCAAGAATAACAAACAAAAGTTAAACAAATAATGAATTTGCCTTGACTTAATGAATATATTGCACACAAATATTCAATAAAAATGATTCTTCATTAAAATCAGCAATTTTCAGGCTTTGATTTGTAATGCAACATATATAAGACGTCTCGTGACATCCGAGTCTAGACGCACCAAATGTCACGTGTGATATGATGAGCCTGGTCAAAATTAAAACTTATCCTAACGGTCACACCATCAACATGTTACTCTCACTCATATATGGGGTACATTCATGGTTTTCATCATAGCAAATTAACACAATCTGCATCCAAACTACATCTGTGGTATCACGCCTGACCTAAAACATCAATCGAATAGGGGTCCAGTTTGGTTTTTCTTAAATTACCTTTATTTGCCTTATGTAGAAAAGTTGAGGGGGACTATTTAAACGAGCACCTGACTACACCGAGTACAGTGATGCAAGGGTTCCAGGGTTGATTCCTGGTCCAATATAAATACATTTTTTTCATTTCCAAATTCCTGTGGCATTTATTAACAACTTCGCCTGCCCAAACAGTCTCTACGCTTCCATTATGACCACACTAAAAGAACACTCAATACTAGACACCACTTACACCATCTTGAAAGTTGAAACATATCCCCTGTAACGGGCACCTGATTAACGCAAATTAAGATATCAGGAGTTCCTTACAGACTTTTAGGTTTCTTATCTGCAAAACTTACTGTAAATACCATACCTGTTTCAATGCAGAATCACCACTGCCAGTATCTTACAGCAAAAAAAGGGCAATAAAAATATTTCTTCATTCATAAACCAATGTAGGCAGCCATTGTTGTTGTCTAGGATACTCGCGTCTCGCAAAAACGAGAGCTATATTTTTTTTCTTTCAGAAAAGAAAAATCATCAGCTTCATGAGTGCAACGGTTTATGTAAATAATTTTAGCTCAAATTTACCTACTATGTTCTATTTTTTATTAAAAAGTTTTCCCCTTAGAAACAGCATATTACTCCGCTAGTATGGTGTTTCAAATAATAGTTTATGTACGAACAATGTGGTTTTCAAAAAGTAAATGTAGAGTTCAATAAAAAGTAAATAAGGCATAGAATCGTTAGTTTTTTTTTCCAAAACATGAAAAGAATTATATTTTAAGAAATAAATTTTGCACTATATTTACAGCGTATTAGTTGATATTGCGTGATTAGGCATGTAAACAACATGGAGGAAGAAGTACCGAGTGGAAGCGATAATATCGTTGCAGAATTTGCAACATACGAGGAGTTTCTTGACTCTCACATCAAACCAATTGATTTGTTCTATTTAGAGGTATTTTATCCTAATTTGTTACAGATATGTTTTTGTTGTTTTTAGATATATGAACGGGAACAAATTTTCTCACGACAGAGGCATTTCGAACGTAGAGAAAGCAATGGAAGTTGGGGAGATAAATCATACTTGAGAACTTTTATTTACATCTATGTAAAATAATCCCACACTGTACTACATAAAATACTATATGTCTTGGGAAAAGTAATAACTTTTTGTTGTATTAAATGCTTGCTGCAGCTCACTGGTCCAAAAAATTGGGCGGATGACCGGAGAATACAAGGAATTAATCTATCTAGGTTTTGTAGTAACTACCTTTTCTAAAGAAATTTGGAAAATCAGCTAGGGATCTCGGGGTCATTCCAAATGAATTTTTAATTTTTTTTTCATATGACCAATTTATAGAGTGCATGTATGGATGAGTGGTATCGGCAAATATTTTTCATATGCCAAAAGACTGAAGAAATAAAATGTATTGCTAAAGAATACAAGGAATACATGTATTTAAGAAATTCTTTTGACAGAAAGACAGGTTGGCAGGTAGATCAACACTCAGTCACTCAACAGTTAGAATGTCTGAAGAGTCGACAGGTTTACAAATTATTATCTCCATTGGTTTGAGTACTTACCCAGTACCCCAATCCTTTCAATAGCTTAGAGGACTAATCCAAATCTCTTAGGTGGGTTTGAAGTCAAAACCTAACCTTTCGGATGGGTTCAAGGACCAACCCTGATTCTCAGTCGTGTTCGAGGACTAACCTAAGGTGGGATCAATCAATATTGTGGTTTTCAAGACTTACCCCAATATCTTGTGTTTCTTCACTCAACTGTTGACTGTTGTTTCAAGGAAATTAGTATCCCAGCTGGGTGTCAAGTATTGACCTTTTTTGTGATGGATAAGATTTAGCAATTTAGATGTTAACTTGTGGCCTTTATTTTGAGGGATTTAGACTTTTTTACAAATATTCCTTACAAGCACAGAAATCAATATTCCTTGCATTGTGTCACCACACAGTCATGATAAATAACTCTGTTTAAAATTTATTGGAATTTCAATTTTCTGGAAAAAAAACTGGTAACATATTTTATGAAAATAGTTTTTTTTTAACTTCAGGATCAAGAGCTTGCCAGACAGGTGATTGAGCTAGGATATAAAGGCAGTGGAGGAGAGGTACTAAGAAGGGAAGAATTTGAAGCAAGGAAACAGGCAGCTGAAGCCAGCAGACTCTCAAAGAGAAGTCAACAAAAGTTTGTACTTTACAGTTTAATTAATTAGGTCAATGCTCTCTTTGATGCTGAAATTTAATATTAGGCCATCCTTAAAAATTTTTTTTTTTTTGCGGTAACGCGACCGACTCACCAAAATCCACCCTACTGGATTTTTTTTAGAAAAAAAATTTTTTTTTTTACATATCCATTTTCTAATTTTATCCTATTGTTGCACCTGTAGACGCCGTTTTTAAAAAAGAACTTGTGTTCTTAAAAGATTGGATTTTAATTAGTAACTTAAAGTGAAATCAAAACATAGTTAATACTCTTTTTGTCTCCAAAAAAAAAATAATAAGTCTACCTACCTACCCACACCTAAAATGATGAGGCGCGTTACCGCAAAAAAACATTTTATTAAGGATGGCCTTAACAGTTTTGTAGAAATGTTTTAATTTGTTTTGTTGATTTTCAGAACTTTGGCAAGTTCTGGGAAGGATATCAAGGACCCATTTCTTAAGGCTTTGGCAGAAAAGGAGGAGGCTAACAGAAGTGGGAAAATGACAGTAAGTAGGCACAAATAACAGGCAAATTAATACCCGGTACATTTTTAATTTTTTTTTAACTAAGTATTTTAATGTAGAAATACTTTTCTGTATTCAAATGCCTTTACTCAGTTTACATTTTTTGTAGAGTGTAATATTCATTAGGGACTTCAATGCAAGAGGCCAAGAAATCTCTGGCTACATAGATTATGCACACAGACTAAAGACAGAGGACTTTGAGCCATACTTTGCAGAGAAAAAGAAACTTTTACCAAGGCCATCAGATTTAAGGTAACAAGAATGTGGATGATTTGGGAGAAATTTGGTAGCCAAATTAGTATATCAGCTTATTTGCCCGGAAACTGTACAAAAATTCTAATTTTGAAACAATAGGGTGCTGGGCTTTCACATTCTACATATTTGAGCTACAATTTAATGTGGAAAGCATAAGCGTTGATCTCCTGTATTTAAACACTTTCAGTGGTTGTACAGACGGAAATGACTGCATGTATCCCACTTACATATATACAACATTCCACAAATTAAATAAGATCCATCAACCATACTTTTTATTACTATATATACACAAACTTAAGATTACTCACCTATTGTATTGAAAACACAGAAATAATACGTGCATTATATTTTCAGCTTTTATAATTGGGAAACTCAGACTTCCACATCAAACCCATCTCCAAACTATCTTGTGATGGCACAGAATGCTACAGGATTGATATTCAAAAACAAAAGGGATCGCAAACAGCTCATTGTAGACCCCAAGGTATATTTTTTCATCATTTACACTATTCAAAAGCTTAAAGGTATTGTAAATCTATATTATGAAGTTTATTTATGTATAATTCAATGAATTATATATAAATGCATTAACAATATTTCAAATGGTAAATCAAGAGGATCAGGCAACAATTGATCCCTATTACTGCCATTTAAAAAAAAATTACTATTTATTAGTTATCCTCCTTTAAAATTTTATATTTCTGAAAGAGATAAAAATTTGCTCCACTTTTTAAAGTATGATTAAAAAATTCTGTTAATATTTCAGGCTCCAAACCCGGGAGACAATTCATACCGTTATGTGATAGAAACCCCAAAATATGTCCAAGTTGTTATATATGATCATATCACCAGAAGAAAAACATAAACTGCTGATTTTTTTGTGTCTTTATTAATGTATCATGTTTAGACTACTTTTGTTCTGTACATTTGTAAATAAAATACTGTAATATAAAATATGTATTTTACCTATGTTTGTTATACAATGTATGTCAATTTTAGGGTAGTTACAGAACTGTAGCATTATGGTTTTATATATTAATCTGTTACAGTCAAAGACCAAAAATAATGCTACAGTTCTGCAGCTGATTTGAGGGAGACAATTTTTTTTTTTGGGGGGGGGAGTTGCTACAAGAGGAAACACTCTCACATCAGGAGGTATCGAGTCCATGCATGGTCCCATGACCATGCTTGTACTCAGGACCCTCGAACTTGTGAGGATATACTTGAAAAAGAGAATATTTGGCGTACTACTAATTTTAGCACCTTTGGCGCAAGAGCTCCTGAGCGCTAAAATTTATTGCGGTAAAGTAAAGGAATGTTTACTGATAATATGGGAGTACTAATGTGTTTCTGTGCTTGACTAACCAAAAAGTCAAAGTTGATTAAAAAATCAGGTTAACTGCATATCTGATAAAAATTAAAAAAATAAATAAGCACATTTATATATTTTTGTTGTACTGACATATGTGGTATATTGCATATGTTTGCCCCCACAAAAGTCAAATTTTGAAAACTTCCTGAAATGTGCTGAATTCAATAAATTGTACGAGAAATATAAGTTAACAGAAAATATCAGAGTTCCAGAGCAGTGTATTCACAATTTCTGTGTTTATGACGTCACAAACTAGTCCGATTTTATATCCTTTTTCAGAAAGAGGACAAAATGGACAAAATTTCAACAATTTAAGCTTTAGAATTTATAGAGCGCATGTGTGTTCAGGAACAATATTGACATATTTCATTGATATTATCATTCTACACATTATATCAAAATATTAATCCTGAACACACATGTGCTCGGTGACTTTTATTTAAAATATCGACGAAATATGTACATTTTTCTACAAAATTCAAAAAAACTGAAATTTACGTCATATTTGTGACTCATTACGTACATATGACTATTATTACTTATGAAATTATTCAGTGCTTTGAAGTCAGCATATACTCCCCTGTTTAAGGACTTAATTAAATATTACTCCATCAAAGTTTGATTTTGGGGGGCAAATGTTGGTTAATACCGCATATAGTTCTTTGCGATTAAAAATTTTTTCTTAAAAATAAATCACAATTAAAGATTGCAAAGCAGTGGTCATTCGCAAAATTTTGAAATGTAAAAATTAATGAACAGCTTTTTGACCTAGATTCGCAAAATAAAATCGACATGAAAATTTCTAGATTTACGGTATTTACAAATTATCACTGAAGTTGATTTTTTTTAAAAAATAAGGTCTATTGTGAAGGTCAAGGTCAAGGGGTAAGAATTCATAGCATGCTCGGAAATATCTTGCCACAGGTAATGCACATGTCAAATATGAAAGTCCTATCTCTTCTCAATATAAGGAACAAGATGTGTCAAATTATGAAACACAGATGACCTCGTATGGCAACATAACAAAGATTTAACATTTCTTAATTCAAATGAAATATATTTGATATTACCCAAAGTAAGGTTTTCAGACAAGAAATACGATTGTGAAATACAAAATCCCACCCCCCTGTTCAAAAGAAAGTTATGGCCAAGGATACATTTTTGAAAGGTAGGTCAAACTCCAAGGTGAAAGGATCTGAGTTGTTGATTTCTTTAAAAAGGTCGCAAGTAATACATATGTGAAGGATGAAAACCCTAACCTTAACCGTTCAATAGTTATGACCAAGGTAAAAGTTTTGAAAAAGTAAGTCAATCTCAAAGGGTTAAAGTTCTTGGTATCCAATGAAAGGTCTTCTCATAAGGATTACATATGTGAAGTACGAAAGCCTTAGCCCTTACCGTTCAAATGTTATGGTCAAGGTTAAACTTTTTTTTTCAGAAGTACAGAAATCTCCAAGGTCAAAGTCAAAATGGCAGAATGGTTGGTATCCAATGAAAGGCCTTGCCACAAAAAATACATATGTGAAATATGTAAGTCCTAGTTTCTACCATTCAGATATGGTCAAGGTTAAAGTTTTTTCATATACAAATGTCTCCAAGGTCAAAAGGTCAAAGTTGTTGGTATCCAATGAAAGGTCTTGCGACAAAAAATACATAAGTGCGAAAATATGAAGTCCTACATGTACATCTACCGTTCAAAAGTTGTGGCCATTCAAAGTTTTTGAAAATTAGGTCAATCTCCATGGTCAAGGTCAAAGGGTCAAAGTTCTTGGTATCCAATGAAAGGTCTTTTCACAAGGATTACATATGTGAAGTACGATAGCCCTAGGCCTTTCCGTTCAAAAGTTATGGTCAAGGTAAAAGTTTTTTCATAGGTCTCTAAGGTCAAGGTTCAAAGGTCAAAATTGTTGGTATCCAATGAAAGGCCTTGACACAAAAAATGCATATGTGAAATATAAAATTCCTAGTTTCTACTATTCAAAAGATATGGCCAAAGTAAAAGTTTGGATTTTTTGTGTAAAAGTGGGTCAATCTCCAAGGTCAAATTTGGTGGTACCTAAAGAAAGGTCTTCTCACAAGGGACACACAAGTGAAATATGAAAGTCATAGCTCCACTAAATCAAAAATAATGGGCAAGGTTAAAGTTTTTGTGACGGACAGACAGACGAATGAGATTTAATGTCCCCTCGCTTTCGCTAAAGCGGCGGACAATAAAGAAGGCAATAAATTGTTATTTTATTCATTATGGTTTTATTTTGATCGGATTGGTCCAAAATGAATTTTTTTTTTCAATTTGCCATTTCATTTCAATTTCTTGCCAAAAAGACTGAGACTAGTCAAAATTCACATATACTTTGATCATTAGTAAACTTTAAGTGAATCATCGTGCATACGTACATATATTTCTCCATCAGATAATACAGGCTTGCCATAATTTTTAATTCTTATACCACCAACCTTTCACTTGCTATTTGACTTCGAATTAAAGTCATGACACTCCTTAGGTTCATAAACAGTACCTGTATCAGGTTCCAATGAGCAATCTTTGTATCAAGTACGAGCTCCTAGTATTTCTACATTGTTAAGTTAAAGTCTTAAAAAAATAATTTTACACTATTCTGAACTTGCTGCATTGACACTGGATTAAAATAAGAACTTTCCTTATTTCAAAAACAATACCTGTACCAATTCTTTTCCAAATAAAGTTTTAGCCGAGACATTTTTTTCTTTTTTCTACCAGTGACCTTGAAATTGCCAAAATGACCTTGGATAAAGGTCAAGGCATATTCTTTCGTGATCATAAGCAATATCTGTACCGAGTATGAGCTTCCACTGACTCTCCATTACAAAGTCAAGTTATGTCATACCTTTTTTCTACTAGTAACCTTGAACTAAATGGAATGACTGGATAAGATCATGACACATTTTTGGGTCATAAGCAATCCCTGTACCAGGTTTGAGCTTCCAGTGATTCTTTCTACAAAGTTATGACCCAGACAAAAATTTCATACTTTTAGGCCAGTGACCTTGAACTTGCAGGAATGACCTTGTGTCAGATCAGGACTCACTGTCGGGTCATTACAAGCAAGCTCTATAAAAAACAAGTATAAGCTTCCAATGTTTCTATATATCAAAGTTAGAGCCTAGAGAAATTACATTCACAGACAATGTGATTCCTATATATCCCTAAAACTTCCTTTGTTTGGGGTAAAAAGAGAAGTTTCATTACTATAATTATAATAAGGAATATACATTTGAAATATGAAAGCCCTAGCACTAATCATTCACATCATTTTGTTTTACCAAAGTAGGTCAAAGTCTAACTTAAAGGTTAAAAAAAAGTTCAAAAGGAATGGCCATGGGTAGTAAAAATTAGTAAATTTGGAGACACATAAACAGACAGACAGTTTATCAAAATATGCCCCCAAATCTTCAATTATAGAGGTGGAATAAAAACTCAACAAGTTTAATTCCATGACAAACAGACTGTATAATAGTGTATTTTAATATATATGATAAATTCAAACTGACATAAATTAATCATGTATCACAAGGGACAAACACAGTTTTTACAATTACATGTACATCAGTTATGCTTTTCAAGAAAAATTGAAAAAATATGAAAGATCTAGAAAATCTATATATACTACTTGTGTATGAAGTAGAACATGCTTATAGAACTTGACAAGGAAAAATATTTCATAAAAAACTTAAATTACTTAGAACCTCAGTAACAACTAAAAGAAGGAAAAAGTGTTGCATACAAAGATAAAACTAAATTAGATAAGCAAGAAGCCCATGGGCCACATCACTCACCTGAGTAACTTTGGCCATTATGTTATTAAACAGATTTCCCCCTAATACCTATTTTGACCTTTCCCAATCCCCAGGGGTCATGATCCAAGCAATTTAGAATCTACACTAGTAACACTACCCCAGGAAGCTTCCACAGAAGTTTAGCTTTTCTGGCCCAGTGGTTCTAATTGAGAAGATTTTTTTATGACCCCACCCTATTTTTGTATATTCTTGACAATTTCCCCTCGGAAGGGGACTTTATTTTTATAATTTAAACTCCCACTACCCAAGGATGTTTTGTATTAAGTTTGGTCAAAATTGGCCCAATGGTTCTCAAGAATAAGCTGAAAATGTGAAAAGTTTACAGATGAATGGACAGTCAGACGGATGGACGACGGACAACAGGTGATCAGAAAATCTCATATGAGCTAAAAACTGCAAGGCCTGCTATGTAAATCAAAGGAGAGAAAATATAAAAGAATTTAGATTTTGCATATTGTTATATTTATTTATAATCTAAAACACTAAAAAATAATAATGTTACAATGAGATCACTTTATCTTTTCTAGCAATTTTCAAACTAAAATTAGATATCATTGAGATGGTGGCCATCTCAAAGGGTCCCACTTTCAGCAATGAACATAAAAATTTAAAGTAGCTGAAAGGGGTTTTAACCTTGACTCTTGGCCTAGAAACTTTGTTCAAGGTCACTACACATCCATTGACCAGTGGCACTCTGTGAGAGAAGTATTAGCCACATTGGACCAAGGGGAGAAAGCATATGCTCTGGACAAGGATTCACAATAAAAAAAATTACCTCCCTTTCTCTTAAGCTTAGATATTCAGACAAGCACTGATTTACCTCTCTTGATATTTTTGCTTAAAAATCCAATCTTTAACTTTTTTAAATTAAAAAATATAATATACAGATACAAAAAAAAACATTCAGAAAAAATAACGTAGTATATGAAAAGTTGTACAATAATGTAGTATCACAACTTTGAGTGATCTGCTGTGGATGTCATATGATCATGAGTTATCCTTAATGAGTTATGTACTCAGCATGGTACACTGAATCCTGAGAATTAAGCTGTTTACTGTGTCCATCACTTTGTAGATATTAGTACATACTCAACTCTGTCCATTGGATTCTGTGAGTTAAGCTATTTAGTGTGTCCATCACTTTGTATATAACAATGATATATAGTTAAGCTATTTAGTGTGTCAACTGTTATATAACAGCACAGTCCATTGAATTCTGTCAGTTAAGCTATTTAGTGTGCCCATCAATTTGTAGATATATAATAATGTACTCAGCACTATCCATTGAATTCTTTGAGTTGAGTTATTTAGTGTGTCCATCACTTGCAGTCCAAACCTTAAATTACTCTCTGCACTATTGTTGAAGCATATTTGTCTGCTATCAAAGAAACATGAAATTGATGGCAGTCTGCCTGTAAAAAAAGAAATCACAAGGACTCAACATAAATATTAATAAAATCTTAATAAATGAAAAATAGCTAACATATTTTTACAGAATAGAAGGATTTTGCAGAGCTTGTACATGTGTCTTACCTTTATTTTCAGGTCCCATAGTTGATCTCTTTGGAGTCTTGAGGAATCATGTTGATCTGCTTTTGGAAACAGGATCAATGCCAGCATAACCGCCTGCCTATTAACAAAAAGACACTAAGAATCCAAGCAATGAGAGAGTCAAAATCTCCTCTAATTCACATAATGCAAGGTCTAGAGCTTTACATGCATCTGATCTGACTAACCATCAATGTTTAGGTTAGACAGTAGTAAGTCCTTACTTTCCACATTCTTGTTAACTGATTGAGATCAGTCTCATCTTCTAATTGATAATGAAAAAAACATGAACAAAAATACCTTGTGCCAAAATGTTCACCTGAGTCACCTTGACTTTGTCATCAAAAGAAAAATTCTTAATTCATATTTTTTTTACTTAAATCCTAGTCCAAAGGGATCATGATGTAACGTAAAAAAAATTCTGTTACCATGAATAATCGTCCGGAAACTGAAGCATCCAGATATCTGGCGTCCGGATATCTGAAGGTCCACTGTAACGTAATTTGAAACAACACATCCTCGGGATGCCCTATTGTTATTGCAACACAGTCTTGCTGTTGTGCAGCAGAAGTAAATCCCCCTGGACCTATGATTTGATAAGTGTATAAAGAAAATTTGTAAATTGCAAAAAATAAATCTTTTTACCCACTCCTTAATCAGATATTGGCTGCTGTACAAAGCTTGGCAATAGACTCTTCTTTTTCTTCACTTGGTCAGCACTGGTCCTCTTCCCTTGTCAAATTCCTTGAAAATACTTGATGGAGAGAAGATAAGCAATAATACAAAGCAATGTAATAATCACAGAAATTCAAATGAACATAATCATTACAACATTATTAGCTTGAAAATCAAAAAGCAAATAAAGACAATAAGGTTATGATAGCTAGGAATAAGGTGGAATATTGGGGCAAGGAGAGGAAAGCATAGTTACTTTAGAGTAGGGAGGACAAAGATATGTCAGAAATAATTAAATAAAAAATACTTGTAAGACTCCTGCCTGTTAAAGTGGGTCATGATGAAGTTCCATAGGTGAAAAAGAAGTAAAGTCTGATTCTTACGAGTATTCTCCTCATGGCTGCAGCGGAATGGGAAAGGGACTCTTCCTCACTTAGAATTCCTGGTCAGTCTTAACTTTCTTCTGCTTAAAAAGATAAAACAGAAACATAAAAGGGGAAACACTTGCACTTAATACCAAGTGAGAAGCTAAAATCAGTAAAAAGCAGCTTGTTGCTTACCACTTTTGAAACATAATACCTGCAAAACACAGACAGGAATAGACTCTTCTTATATTAATGACCTTGGTCCTCCATTGTTGTTCCTCTTCTGAATCAAAGGGGAACTGAAATCTGTCAATTGAAGGTCCAGATGTTAAAGCTTGGTACAGCCAACATCAATAGGCAAGCAAAGATACAAGAAGTAAAATCTGAATATTACCCTGCTTTCTGCTGCTGTATGCAGTTCGATGAGAGAGGGAGTCCTCCTCATTTCAGGATCCTGTTTAGCCTTAAAAGTATTCCTCTTAAAAAGATAAAAATTAACAGACACCAAAAGAGGATCACTTGCACTTCATACCAAGTGAGAAGATTTCTAAAATAAACTAGTGGCCAATGGGCAATATGCTCAAAAAGCATATTGGCTAGTAAATGACAAATTAGTCTTGTATTGAAAAGTATAAAATTTAGAAGAGGAGATTCCTAAATAACTACCTGGAGACATTTTCATATCAATAACAATGGCTTAGCTGTTCTTGAACATAAAATTTTTTCCATATATTCCTTTGTTAAAATTTTATCCCCATTATTTTTATGATTTGCCAAATTTGTAAAACCTCTTAACCAAGGATGCATTTGCAAATTATTATTATGGCTTTGATTTGACGGTGAAAACGCCTATTCGCTTCTCGATAATTACTCGCAAAAAATAAGGAATCTACAGTATCATATATATTTTTGATCCCCTATTCTGACACCAAAATGGGGTCTTGATTTGACTAATTTTGAATCTACACTACCTGAGGATGATGCCACATAAGTGTCTCTTTCCTGTCTCAGTGGTTCTTGAAAAGAAGATTTTTAAAAGATGTCCTTAATTTTTCTCTTATTTGTAGTAATCTTCCATTTGAAGAGGGAGTGGGCCTTCATTTGAATAAACTTAAATCCCATAATGGCATTTATCCAAGGATACTCTTTGCCAAGTTTCGTTGAATTTGACCAAAGATGAAAATGTGAAATTTTACAAACAAGAGGCCCATGGGCCACATCGCTCACCTGAGAAGCTTTGACCATTCTGTTCTTTACCAGATTTCCCCCTTGTAACACATATTGTGACCCCACCCTACGTACCCCACTGATCAAAATTTAGACAATTTGAAATCTACACTACCCCAGGATGCTTCCACATAAGTTTCAGCTTTTCTGGCCCAGTGGTTCTTAAGAAGAAGATTTTCAAAGATTTTTCCTATATATTTCTATGTAAAACTTTGATTCCCCATTGTGGCCCTGCCCTACCCCCGGTGGTCATGATTTGAAAAATTTAGAATCTACACTACCCCAGGATGCTTCCACACAAGTTTCAGCTTTTCTGGCCCAGTGGTTCTTGAGCAGAGGATTTTCAAAGATTTTTTCTATGTATTTCTATGTAAAAATTTGATTCCCCATTGTGGCCCCGCCCAACCGCCCGGGGGTCATGATTTGAACAATTTAGAATCTACACTACCCCAGGATGCTTCCACACAAGTTTCAGCTTTTCTGGCCCAGTGGTTCTTGAGAAGATTTTTTAATGACCCCACCCTAGTTTTGTCTTTTCTTGATTATCTCCCCTTGTGAGGGGACTTGGCCCTTCATTTTAACAATTTAAATTCCCCTTCACTCAAGAATGCTTGGTACCAAGTTTGGTCAAAATTGGCCCAGTGGTTCTTGAGAAGAAGTCGAAAATGTGAAAAGTTTACAGATGGACGGACGGACAGACGACGGACAAAATGTGATCAGAAAAGCTCACTTTAGCCTTTGGCTCAGGTGAGCTAAAAAGATGACAAAGACATAAAATGAACAAAGGTTCACTTCTTTTAAAAACCAGCACTTATATCAATTGATTCTACTACTAAATTGGGTTTGTGATCAGGAGAGATCCTATATGAGATGTTTACCAATGCTTTTGAGACTCATCTTCCCGTGCGCCCTTGCGAACTTAGCCTGGGACAAAATGATACCCAGTATCCGTCTGCTTCCACGTGGAGGCATCGCATAGGACTTGTTGTGGAGAGGCTATGTACTGGCAGGGGAAGATGTTAGAATTTCTTCCCCCTTTTCGCATTGCTGCTAGCCAGCGGTGATGGCTGAAAGCGAGAGGTGACAAGCACACAGACACTAACACCAACACACTAGACGCGTCACACAACATTTAGCAGACGTTAGTAGTTTTAGTAGCTTGTTACTTGTTCAGGGTTCTCCATTGTTTGAAATTTTACTGTGTTGCAGAGTTTACGCAAAGCACTAAAATTTCACGGTATTTTAGCGATCAAATTTGCAACTGACTCACTATTCATTATAATTACTTAAGAATACATGCACACAATTTAAAAAAAAAAAAAAATCACCAATTCGTTACAAAAATAGTATGGTCGAACATATTAGCACATGTTGTGAAATGCAGAGGAAATTCTTGTCTATAAAGTTGAACTACTTACAATTTTTTAAAGCAAATTTGTCATAATTTTTTTGTCAATTTTATTGATCGAATTAAGGAATTACAAAAAAAGAGACTTCGGAATAGTAAAATACTTTTAAAAGTTCCTTGAAAATTGAAAACTATTTATTTACATCAAGTAAATGATTTTGGTACAGTGTTATGTTTGATTTACATTGCAAACATAATTCTAGAGCCATGGCTCTAAAGAAAAGACATTTAAATATATTTTTAAAAATAATACAATGTACTTTAATTGCAACTACTAGTACCAATTAAGCGTTACATGGAAGTTTGAAATCCAATTTTTTGTCTTTGTTCCTTCATGCGTCAAGTCCATTGAGGGTCTAGGAAATAATTGATTATGCAAGGTGAAAGCATAATTAAGTGATCTAGATATCGTATAGAATTGAAAGACGGTAGAATTGTTTGATCAATTATGTTTCAGATAGAGAGAATTTGTATGTTTCAATTTTTTTTTATTATCACAGATCTTACTGTGTCAGCAAAATTTTTAATGTGTCGCACAGATAAAATTTGAATCTTTACTGTGTCGGAGAACATTTTTCTGTGTCGGGACCAACACAGTAAAACAGCTCATGGAGAACCCTGCTTGTTAGGGTGTTAATCATGCAAACCTATCCACCACAAGCACTAATCATGCACTAACTAACAAATACCTTAATTACAATAATAACCTACACTCCTCTAAGCTGTCTAACTATCAACTAAAGCCTACTTACTAACTCAAACTACAACACAACTGCACCTACCGGAAATACTATACAAACTAAACCTAAGACTAAGAAACACCTTTGTAACGCTACTTACAACTACTATACACCCCATACTTTCTGAATGCAGCAGAAAACACTCCAGACTGACCTTCAGAGGTGGCTATCTCTGCTTCCTGTCAATTCAAACTCAAGAGGTCAAAGCCTGAAAAAGCCAACATCAATTGGAAAGCCATAATATTGGGAAAAGGTGCTCAGAGGTCAAGTATGAATCTTACCGCACTTTCTGCTCATGAACGCTGTTAAATGGGAGAGGGACTGCTCTTCACTTCAGGATCCTGGTCAGCCTCAAATTTCTTCTGCTTAAAAAGAGAAAACAAACACATCAAAGGAGAATCACTCACATTCCCTAACAAATGACAAACTTCATTTGAATAATCAATTTGTTACTTACAACCTTGAGCCATATTGGTTGCTGCATAGAGATGGGAAATGGACTCATCATCCTGTCTTTTGCTGTTGGTCGACCTTGCTCCTCCATCGTTGTTCCTCTTCCGAGTCCCTGAAAGTATAAAACTGGCACAATGTTAGTAAAACTTCAAAAGAATGCAACAAATCACGAAAAGTTACTTACCACTTTGGGCCATGTTGGCTGCTGTATAGAGATGGGAAATGGACTCGTCATCTCGTCTTCCTCTGTTGGTCGACCCTGCTCCTCCATCGTTGTTCCTCTTCCGAGTCCCTGAAAGTATAAAACTGGCACAATGTTAGTAAAACTTCAAAAGAATGCAACAAATCACGAAAAGTTACTTACCACTTTGGGCCATGTTGGCTGCTGTATAGAGATGGGAAATGGACTCGTCATCTCGTCTTCCTCTGTTGGTCGACCCTGCTCCTCCATCGTTGTTCCTCTTCCCAGTCCCTGAAAGTATAAAACTGGCACAATGTTAGTAAAACTTCAAAAGAATGCAACAAATCACGAAAAGTTACTTACCACTTTGGGCCATGTTGGCTGCTGTATAGAGATGGGAAATGGACTCGTCATCTCGTCTTCCTCTGTTGGTCGACCCTGCTCCTCCATCGTTGTTCCTCTTCCCAGTCCCTGAAAGTATAAAACTGGCACAATGTTAGTAAAACTTCAAAAGAATGCAACAAATCACGAAAAGTTACTTACCACTTTGGGCCATGTTGGCTGCTGTATAGAGATGGGAAATGGACTCGTCATCTCGTCTTCCTCTGTTGGTCGACCCTGCTCCTCCATCGTTGTTCCTCTTCCGAGTCCCTGAAAGTATAAAACTGGCACAATGTTAGTAAAACTTCAAAAGAATGCAACAAATCACGAAAAGTTACTTACCACTTTGGGCCATGTTGGCTGCTGTATAGAGATGGGAAATGGACTCGTCATCTCGTCTTCCTCTGTTGGTCGACCCTGCTCCTCCATCGTTGTTCCTCTTCCGAGTCCCTGAAAGTATAAAACTGGCACAATGTTAGTAAAACTTCAAAAGAATGCAACAAATCACGAAAAGTTACTTACCACTTTGGGCCATGTTGGCTGCTGTATAGAGATGGGAAATGGACTCGTCATCTCGTCTTCCTCTGTTGGTCGACCCTGCTCCTCCATCGTTGTTCCTCTTCCGAGTCCCTGAAAGTATAAAACTGGCACAATGTTAGTAAAACTTCAAAAGAATGCAACAAATCACGAAAAGTTACTTACCACTTTGGGCCATGTTGGCTGCTGTATAGAGATGGGAAATGGACTCGTCATCTCGTCTTCCTCTGTTGGTCGACCCTGCTCCTCCATCGTTGTTCCTCTTCCCAGTCCCTGAAAGTATAAAACTGGCACAATGTTAGTAAAACTTCAAAAGAATGCAACAAATCACGAAAAGTTACTTACCACTTTGGGCCATGTTGGCTGCTGTATAGAGATGGGAAATGGACTCGTCATCTCGTCTTCCTCTGTTGGTCGACCCTGCTCCTCCATCGTTGTTCCTCTTCCCAGTCCCTGAAAGTATAAAACTGGCACAATGTTAGTAAAACTTCAAAAGAATGCAACAAATCACGAAAAGTTACTTACCACTTTGGGCCATGTTGGCTGCTGTATAGAGATGGGAAATGGACTCGTCATCTCGTCTTCCTCTGTTGGTCGACCCTGCTCCTCCATCGTTGTTCCTCTTCCCAGTCCCTGAAAGTATAAAACTGGCACAATGTTAGTAAAACTTCAAAAGAATGCAACAAATCACGAAAAGTTACTTACCACTTTGGGCCATGTTGGCTGCTGTATAGAGATGGGAAATGGACTCGTCATCTCGTCTTCCTCTGTTGGTCGACCCTGCTCCTCCATCGTTGTTCCTCTTCCCAGTCCCTGAAAGTATAAAACTGGCACAATGTTAGTAAAACTTCAAAAGAATGCAACAAATCACGAAAAGTTACTTACCACTTTGGGCCATGTTGGCTGCTGTATAGAGATGGGAAATGGACTCGTCATCTCGTCTTCCTCTGTTGGTCGACCCTGCTCCTCCATCGTTGTTCCTCTTCCCAGTCCCTGAAAGTATAAAACTGGCACAATGTTAGTAAAACTTCAAAAGAATGCAACAAATCACGAAAAGTTACTTACCACTTTGGGCCATGTTGGCTGCTGTATAGAGATGGGAAATGGACTCGTCATCTCGTCTTCCTCTGTTGGTCGACCCTGCTCCTCCATCGTTGTTCCTCTTCCCAGTCCCTGAAAGTATAAAACTGGCACAATGTTAGTAAAACTTCAAAAGAATGCAACAAATCACGAAAAGTTACTTACCACTTTGGGCCATGTTGGCTGCTGTATAGAGATGGGAAATGGACTCGTCATCTCGTCTTCCTCTGTTGGTCGACCCTGCTCCTCCATCGTTGTTCCTCTTCCCAGTCCCTGAAAGTATAAAACTGGCACAATGTTAGTAAAACTTCAAAAGAATGCAACAAATCACGAAAAGTTACTTACCACTTTGGGCCATGTTGGCTGCTGTATAGAGATGGGAAATGGACTCGTCATCTCGTCTTCCTCTGTTGGTCGACCCTGCTCCTCCATCGTTGTTCCTCTTCCCAGTCCCTGAAAGTATAAAACTGGCACAATGTTAGTAAAACTTCAAAAGAATGCAACAAATCACGAAAAGTTACTTACCACTTTGGGCCATGTTGGCTGCTGTATAGAGATGGGAAATGGACTCGTCATCTCGTCTTCCTCTGTTGGTCGACCCTGCTCCTCCATCGTTGTTCCTCTTCCCAGTCCCTGAAAGTATAAAACTGGCACAATGTTAGTAAAACTTCAAAAGAATGCAACAAATCACGAAAAGTTACTTACCACTTTGGGCCATGTTGGCTGCTGTATAGAGATGGGAAATGGACTCGTCATCTCGTCTTCCTCTGTTGGTCGACCCTGCTCCTCCATCGTTGTTCCTCTTCCGAGTCCCTGAAAGTATAAAACTGGCACAATGTTAGTAAAACTTCAAAAGAATGCAACAAATCACGAAAAGTTACTTACCACTTTGGGCCATGTTGGCTGCTGTATAGAGATGGGAAATGGACTCGTCATCTCGTCTTCCTCTGTTGGTCGACCCTGCTCCTCCATCGTTGTTCCTCTTCCCAGTCCCTGAAAGTATAAAACTGGCACAATGTTAGTAAAACTTCAAAAGAATGCAACAAATCACGAAAAGTTACTTACCACTTTGGGCCATGTTGGCTGCTGTATAGAGATGGGAAATGGACTCGTCATCTCGTCTTCCTCTGTTGGTCGACCCTGCTCCTCCATCGTTGTTCCTCTTCCCAGTCCCTGAAAGTATAAAACTGGCACAATGTTAGTAAAACTTCAAAAGAATGCAACAAATCACGAAAAGTTACTTACCACTTTGGGCCATGTTGGCTGCTGTATAGAGATGGGAAATGGACTCGTCATCTCGTCTTCCTCTGTTGGTCGACCCTGCTCCTCCATCGTTGTTCCTCTTCCGAGTCCCTGAAAGTATAAAACTGGCACAATGTTAGTAAAACTTCAAAAGAATGCAACAAATCACGAAAAGTTACTTACCACTTTGGGCCATGTTGGCTGCTGTATAGAGATGGGAAATGGACTCGTCATCTCGTCTTCCTCTGTTGGTCGACCCTGCTCCTCCATCGTTGTTCCTCTTCCCAGTCCCTGAAAGTATAAAACTGGCACAATGTTAGTAAAACTTCAAAAGAATGCAACAAATCACGAAAAGTTACTTACCACTTTGGGCCATGTTGGCTGCTGTATAGAGATGGGAAATGGACTCGTCATCTCGTCTTCCTCTGTTGGTCGACCCTGCTCCTCCATCGTTGTTCCTCTTCCCAGTCCCTGAAAGTATAAAACTGGCACAATGTTAGTAAAACTTCAAAAGAATGCAACAAATCACGAAAAGTTACTTACCACTTTGGGCCATGTTGGCTGCTGTATAGAGATGGGAAATGGACTCGTCATCTCGTCTTCCTCTGTTGGTCGACCCTGCTCCTCCATCGTTGTTCCTCTTCCCAGTCCCTGAAAGTATAAAACTGGCACAATGTTAGTAAAACTTCAAAAGAATGCAACAAATCACGAAAAGTTACTTACCACTTTGGGCCATGTTGGCTGCTGTATAGAGATGGGAAATGGACTCGTCATCTCGTCTTCCTCTGTTGGTCGACCCTGCTCCTCCATCGTTGTTCCTCTTCCCAGTCCCTGAAAGTATAAAACTGGCACAATGTTAGTAAAACTTCAAAAGAATGCAACAAATCACGAAAAGTTACTTACCACTTTGGGCCATGTTGGCTGCTGTATAGAGATGGGAAATGGACTCGTCATCTCGTCTTCCTCTGTTGGTCGACCCTGCTCCTCCATCGTTGTTCCTCTTCCCAGTCCCTGAAAGTATAAAACTGGCACAATGTTAGTAAAACTTCAAAAGAATGCAACAAATCACGAAAAGTTACTTACCACTTTGGGCCATGTTGGCTGCTGTATAGAGATGGGAAATGGACTCGTCATCTCGTCTTCCTCTGTTGGTCGACCCTGCTCCTCCATCGTTGTTCCTCTTCCCAGTCCCTGAAAGTATAAAACTGGCACAATGTTAGTAAAACTTCAAAAGAATGCAACAAATCACGAAAAGTTACTTACCACTTTGGGCCATGTTGGCTGCTGTATAGAGATGGGAAATGGACTCGTCATCTCGTCTTCCTCTGTTGGTCGACCCTGCTCCTCCATCGTTGTTCCTCTTCCGAGTCCCTGAAAGTATAAAACTGGCACAATGTTAGTAAAACTTCAAAAGAATGCAACAAATCACGAAAAGTTACTTACCACTTTGGGCCATGTTGGCTGCTGTATAGAGATGGGAAATGGACTCGTCATCTCGTCTTCCTCTGTTGGTCGACCCTGCTCCTCCATCGTTGTTCCTCTTCCCAGTCCCTGAAAGTATAAAACTGGCACAATGTTAGTAAAACTTCAAAAGAATGCAACAAATCACGAAAAGTTACTTACCACTTTGGGCCATGTTGGCTGCTGTATAGAGATGGGAAATGGACTCGTCATC